TGTCTCCAAGAAATCCATGCTGTCTATCATCAAGAAGATGCATTGTTTTATTCAAGAGTTCCTGTTTAATAAGGCGTTCAAATGTTTTCATTATAAGACTAGTTAGGGAAATCGGCCGATAATTCTCAATGTCCTCCTTACTACCCTTCTTGTGAACCGGAACTACGTGAGCCAGCTTCCATTCAGTTGGAATAATACCGGAGTTATATGATATCTCAAATAAAATTGAAAGTGGGCAAGCGAGACTACCAGCACAGTTCTTCAGTATCTTACCATGGATACCGTCAGGGCCGCAAGCTTTGTTAGAATTAATGTTCCTTAAGAGATGTTTTATATTCTCTGCACAGAAAGTTAAGTCGAATTCAGTATCACTTCTCCAATCAATATCAATATCATACTTAGATTCGTCAGAAAATTGTTCTGAGAAATACTGATTGAACATATTTGCTTTGTCTAATGGAGATTCTCTGTATGTTTCTCTAAGGTACATCCTATCCGGTATTCTTGAATTCTTTGAAGAGGATTTTACATGCGACCAGGATTTCTTTGAGATCAATGCAGGGTCATCATCGTTATATAGATTATCGTTCATCTTCTGATCAGATAGATTTTTGAACTGTGTTCTTAGTGAGCAAAACTTAAAATAATCCTTTTGTTGGCCGGTTAGTTTCCACTTTTCATGAGCTCTTTTTTTCTTCAAGTATGCCTCATGGGCCTCTGAATCAAACCAGGGATTTCTATATGCTAACTTTAAAGTAATAGTAGGGATATGCTTTGAGATACTTTTCGATATTACAGACTTTAAGGCAAGCCAACAATATTCAGGATCTCCTAGCTTTAAAAACATAGCATTCCAGTCAATAGAATTCAAGTCTTCGTTAATGGCCGTCCAGTTTGCCTTCTTAAAGTTGAGAATCTTTCTTTTAGGACATTTAGAATAAGTGATTTTTGTAGCAACTTTAAAAGCTATTGGATAATGGTCAGATTTGCAAGCACCGTGACCCTTCAATACCGTAAGATCTCTTACTAAATTTTTACAATTACTCAAAAGAAGGTCTAGTATGTTACCCTTAACATGTGTAGGACTACTTATACATTGATCTAGATCAAAGTTATGGAATGTTGTAATGAAGTCCTCTTCAATTAAACTAGAAGGTGTAACAATTCCGTCCTCAGAAAACCAATCTACTCCATTGAGATTAAAATCACCAACGATGAGAAGTTTTTTAGGGCGTTTGCTTGAGTAGAAAGACTTGATTGTACTGGCAATACTTTCATGGTTTACTGTTCCTAAAGTTCCGACTCTGTAAACCACACAAAAAATGTATTTACTTTCACCTATGTTTATTTCAATAGCGGCCATTTCGGACCCCTTACGTACAGACAGTATTTTGATTTCAGCTTGAATATCAGATCTGATTGCTATCAAGACTCCTCCACCATTTTTCCTATATTTTTTCGGATTGTTATTATCAGGTGGATGTGATACTTTTGAGCGATCATTTCTAAATACTTCATAGTTAGAGCTTTGAATGACCTCTCTATCCATTACAGAGTTTTTAAGCCAAGTCTCTGTAAGCAGAATAACGTCAGGATGTGAATCTTCAATATGTGCATTAAGTTCATATATTTTGGATTTATCAAGATGAGGTTGCTTACTGTTAAGTTGAGAAAACGGTATCAAGCCTTGAACATTCTGATAATAGACTGATATGTGATTAGGGCCGGGATTAAGCATACTAGGGTTTGATATTGCAATAAGCAAGAAGTTTAAGGTCAATAGAAGTAAAATCGACATACTCAGAACTTGCCTAGATGTGCTAGTTACTGCACCAAACATTATATTAGCGGCAGTCAGCCTTTCAACTCGGTATCTCCGACTGAGTCTTTGGTACTGAGTAAAGATGAAGTTCTTAATTGCAAAACCAAAGATATACAGGTATGCACAATTAATATGAGACACAAGTGGGAAGGCCTTACTGGTATTAAAGTAGAATCTACTGGGATGAATAAACCTATCAATCTCATTGGACTCTTTCGAGCTTGTTAAAATCATACCAATTAGACAAAACATGATGAACAAGTGCAGAACATAGATACCAATGTTAGATGGTCTAGAATTGAAGATAAGTGCATCTTCAAATATCCTAGTCCTGATATCCGATCCAAACCTAACCCCCCTACCCCAAGCAGAACTATCCACTTGACAGGAATTCTTTGGTGCTCTAGAATTACAAAAGCAGCCGATTCGCATCCTGTAAAGTGTTAGATCGATCATTGTCAAAAATTTAATTCAAATGTAATTTAAAATATGCATACAGCCTACCAGTGTGAACCATTGGGTTGCACCCTGGCAATTAAAAATCATTTGTGTTAATGAAAACATATTTCAAAATTGTTCAACCCTGAATTGACTCCATTACCGCAGCACAGTAGGTATCAAATTTTTAATTGAATTGCGGTTTAGAAACCAAGAGGATTGAACCATTTTGAATGAATAATAAATATGTAGAATCTTGCAAGAACACCCATGCCTTTATTATTTGGGTGAATATCAAAACGCTGTTTCTTAGTGTCAAAATGCGGGAAAAGTCTCGTGTTGATGCAGCCCCTAGCATCCAAGAAAGCAGGAAAGATATCTAAGAAATAATGCCTATACCGGGAGCACATATTGTAAATCAGATTGTTCATTCGAATAACATTTCTCTCAGTAAATTTACAACCATTAGGATTAATTGGAGGAATAGATTGAAACCATACTTTTGCAGTTGGAAGTATCAACTTTATGGAACTCATTAAACTAGATACCGCACTTTTAAGATGTGCTATTCCATTATCACAGTACCGTATATCATTAGTACCAACAGACACAAATAATTTAACAACTTCTAAATTAGGGTTATCTTTCACGAATTTCTCGATATCTCTCTTGACCTTATCAAGTTTACTGCCTCCAACGGCGATGTTCTTAACTACTTGCTTATTCTTTCCTAACAATTTTTCATCTAATCTAGCAGCAAAAGAGTCCCCAGCAACAAGAACAATCTTCTGCTTTTTCGTGACTTGTTCATTGACTTGGGATAAATCCACTTGATCCTCTTCAGGAGGTTTAATCTTACGGAACGAGAGACTAAAACGTACTTGTTCATTTTCACCGACAACATTACCAGAATAAACTGCATGTCTCATTTTAGATTGAGCACCAGGTTTCATAATGTTCATGGTTTTATCAGTGGCTGGTAGCACATGATCAGGACTATCGCTGTTTTTATTACTATCAAGAACGATTGAAAGTTCTCGTGGTGCACCTAGTGAAACAGTACAAATTGAGCTAGTCTGAGATATGAGTGGCTCGTTATCACGATGGAGTCGGAGAGTAGACTTGCTCGATGCATAACGAGTTATCAGGCAGGAGTCCATATCACCAGATGTTGAAGGGTGATTGTTAACCACTTCCATGAGCTTGCAAAAATTGGGGTAATCGTTTATAGGAATTGGTTTGTTCATAACATGACCATAGTTATAAGAATGAGTGGTCGGACTAAGCCACTGAGTAGTGACTGGACGACCCCTCTGTTTTAAGTTAAGAGAGTCAAGCTCTTTTCGGAGGTCATCACAAAGGGTTTTGTCCAAGTTAAGGTCGTTAACATGTTCAACAAGGGATACAATGTCATCAGACGAGGCAGTAGATTCTGCAGCAGATTCAGAAGCAACGTCGAGGGTTAGGGCTTCCAACATTGCACGTTTTTCAGCTAGAGTGGCTGTTTTGAGAAGATCGACGAACACTTTGGGTAATTCTTGCATTGTTTGTCGAAGTAGGACGCCAGGTGATCAAGGGGCAGATCAGGAGTACAGCAGTGTCGGCAGGACAACTATCAGTGATCAGAGACCTTGTTAAGATTTCAGAGATGTCCCAGCCAAGCTGGGACAGAGAATAAAAGACTGCCGTACACCGCTACACTGCCTCACTACCCCCGTCTCAACCCGGGACACCGGCTGACTTTACTCCAGCGACATTCTGTCCACGAGTGGACCCATCGTCTTAGCCATGCCTAATAAATGTAATAGATTTGTAGTGTTGTAATTAGTTTAAAACTAATAAAAAAAAATTGATAATGGTACTACGTAGGCAGGGAAGCATTACATACTTCGCCTACCCATGGGTTTCTACTGTCTACAATCAAAGGCCCTAGCGTTAATTTTAATGTCCATTCCAATAAACTCCGACAAGGTATAGTTAAATTAAATATATTAAACGAATGCCTTTGAGCGTTCATTTCAATGTCCGTTCAAAATTATGTCAGTTCACGAAATATCCGATCAAATAACGTCCGATACTGTACAATTATTGAGGACGTTACACTTACAGAAGGAATTTATTTAATGTTGTCTGCGAGATCCCTAATACTCCTCGCCTCCTAAGATGGTATACTGCAGCCGGGGAGGGCTATGGTTAGTCCATAGTCGAGCACATCACATGCTGTCTGAACATGCCGTTTGAACGTGCCGTCTGAACATGCCGTCTGAACATGCCGTCTGAACATGCCGTCTGAACATGCCGTCTGAACGTGCCGTCTGAACATGCCGTCTGAACGTGCCGTCTGAACATGCCGTCTGAACGTGCCGTCTGAACGTGCCGTCTGAACATGCCGTCTGAACATGCCGTCTGAACGAGAGACGCAGATTATTATTCACATCACACATAATTAACAATGCGTATTATAATAGCTAATAATATATATTATTAATATTATACATTATTCGTATAAGTAATCATTGGAGAACACAGTGACAGGACCATTATAATACCATGCTTCAAACGTCATTAGGGGCTAGGCTAATGTTTACAGTGAGCACAGTATTATTGCTAATGAAAATAAATTCGAAATAGATTCGGATAGAAAACGGACTACAGACTACAATACAAGACATTTCCCGATGATGTCTACGATTTCTTAGATTTTCTATAAATGTCGTGATTTCTTTTCGAGTGCAAGTTCCACTAGTAAAATGAGATTTTTCGTTGCATTTGCTGTTCTTGGGGCCATCGCCCTCGGACAAGGTTAGCTAATTTGTAACCAATTATTATCCAGATTTCTTTTTGTAATTGTATCTTTGGCTTCTGTAATAAACTGTTTACAATTACATATAATCGGTTGTTCAATAAACCGTAGCCTAATATATACAGACTCTGTAATTGGTAATCTTAAAGAACCCAAGCTAACTATACCAGCGTTCTCATAAAATTATACTTTGAAGAAGTATGGTTTATAGATAATCAGTATTTAATTGTTCCACTGTACTATAGTTCACTGACTTTTAAAATGCTCCGCAACGTTTCCAATCTTAAATGATGTTAAGTTTTATATTTCGTCAAAGAAAAGAATTACTACTCGATTCAGTTAATTTATTAAATTTAATTAATTCAAATTTCAGATTGTACTGAAGAGGGAGATGCTAAAAGTGTCAACTACAGAGGCAAAGTAGCCGTCGGCGCAAATGGATACCGATGCCAGAAATGGGCATCTCAGTCACCTAATGCACATACATACACTCCTGAAAAGTAAGTCTGACTATTATATTTAGAATTTCGACATTTCTTGACCATATATATATATATGGTCAAAAAATGTCGGAATTCTAAACGTGGTCTTTGGGCTAGGGTAATATGATGTTGATTAGTGTAATATTTATGAATAGGGTCGGATTCGAGCTAGAATTATCAAGTTGAGGTTGTGATTCAGATTGTAAATGTTTAGTCACGTTTATCAATCTCTAGTCAGTAAACATGGATTAATAGTATTTCTCACCATGTTGAAATTCAAATGTTTTGCGTCCTAGGTCTAAATTTCAACACATGAATATTTTCAGATACCCTGATGCGGGTCTTGATGAAAACTACTGCCGTAACCCTTCTGAGTAAGTGACTATAGCAGATTATTTTTTCACTCCATTTATCATATTTTGGTCTGTGGCCCTTATGTTCACCTTTTATCTCAATGGGGAACCTTGCCCCTTTCGTATTATTTCCGTATTATATATAAAGCTAAGTTAGAAGGATTAACATTTCCACAAAAAAGGACACCTCATTTTCTCTAAAGAGACGTAATAAACTAAAAAGTAACTAACCGATATTTCCCAAAGTCACACTGGTCTATGGTGCTATAATGATGAGGGTACAAGTCCAAGGTGGGTCAACTGTGACGCACCAAAATGTGGTGAGTTAGCTTAATTTTTGCAGCTTCATATTATTTAATTAATTAATTAATTAATATCAACATGAGTGGTCACCACTTACCATAATGGTAGTTGTATTGTCCACATACACAGCTTAACTTCTCATCTTATCTCATTAAACATAAGATTATACATTGTACTTCCATTAACAATCACACGCGGAAGTAACATCGTGAGTAACATAATATAAACATAACATAAACGATATAGTGACTTTTGTACTTTTAGTTGGACTGACGTATTCACAGAACAAATATAATAATATGATAGATTTTTGCAACTATTTGAAGACTGAGAAGAACATGAGACTAACAGTGGTTATACTTTATAGAATGGAGCAAAACATTTCCTTGTGATTGAATAATACAATAATTAATGAATTAATTAATTAATAACAACCAATACATATAACAGACTCACAATATCGCAACTTAAGTTTAAAACTATAAATTTCAGGACAATACCTCGTGAAGGTTATCTGTGATGACATCGCCAACATCTTCATTGATGGTGTAGAGAAAGTTGTCCCCGGAACCGGAGCCTGGAACCAGCTCTCCAAGTTTTACGTGCCAGCAACTACCACTACCATTGGAATCAAATGCCGCAACACAGGTTTCAATTTCGTGAATTCGTGACGCGGTTAAATCTTAAAATTTTATTTTTCGATTTATAGTTTTCCCTGGCATATTTTCAGTTCTAATCGTTTTAATTTTTGTATTGAATTGATGTATATAAATAGCCAAAACGAGTCCGTTTACAGTGTTCTGCTTGGTAATTTTATGTCCAATGTTTAATTCCTGTTTAATTCCTGTTTAATTCCTGTTCAATTCCTGTTTAATTCCTGTTTAATTCCTGTTTAATTCCTATTTAATTTCTATTAAATTCCAGGCGGACCCTACGGTATCATGGCTACAGTACAGAATGAAGTTGGAGAGACGTTTGTTGTGTCGGACAACTCGTGGAGTTGCTCTAATGCTGCTCAGGATGGCTGGGCAGCCGGTAGTTTTACAGGTAAAATGTCATTTAGTTTGTGATTAAATTTGTGATTCGTTATGTCTCCATATTCGGTGCTTATTTTTGGTATGATTGAAGAATTTGGTTGAATAATTTTCTTTTAAAACTTCAGTTTTGATCTGACATATGTTAAATTGTAAAGACCTTTCTAATTTCTAATGTCTAATTTTTTCAGAGGATGATAGCTGGAAGCCTGCTGCTTATTATTATGGGCATCCTCCTTATCTTATTAATAAGGACGCTTGGAGGGGAATGTCTAATGTGAGTTGGATGGTTAGGCGGATAGAATATAACGAGTCCAAATATGATTAGTAAAAAATAACGAGTAAAAATATAACGAGTAAAAATTTAACTAGTAAAAAAATAACGAGTATATATTTAACGAATAAAAACACACATGATTACGATTAAAAATAACAATTTGTGCTTCAGGATAAGAAAGTTATCTGGACGGCTTCTGCTGCTGATACGACAGTTTACTGCCGCAAGGATCTTCCAAAACCAACAGGTAAATCAGTTTTGTTTTGAAAATTCTATAGTTTTGGTACTTTATCTATTTTTTACTGCCACAACATGTAGCATCTTACGGTTTTAATTCTGTTTTGCAATTTCGGTAGTTTTGATACTTTATTTAACAGGGTTGTGTTTTAATAGTTTAATAGTTTAATGATGTGTGCGTAATGGAGGTAATAAGATGTAAGTTTTATTCAACTAATAACTATGCAGTTATGTAACCGTGAAAAATGCATTTAACCAATTAATTCAGACCTCACCCTGGACGTGATCTGTGACGATGTCTCCACCATATTTGTTGACGGAGAACAGCAGGATGTTGCAGGAACTGGGGCCTGGAACCAGCTCGCCAGTGTCCGTATCTCTGGAGATACCAAAGTAGTAGGAGTTCAGTGCAGGAATACTGGCGGTCCTTACGGTATCATGGCTCAGATCCTTGATGGGTCCAAGAAGGTTATAATAATTATTATTAATCGTTATACAATTTAAGCACCTTAGCTAACTCATTAAGTTGTTAAAATATCAATCAACTCTACCCAGTTCGCACCATAGTACGTTGAATTAAACTAATCATTACAATAAACACAAACAACATTCAATATTTCTTCAAATAGCAAATAACTAGCGATCACCATTCACCAAGTGTTTAGCACACCTGTGCCCTGACTCGGAAACACAACAGGATCCTAATACTTCCCATTCTTCGGAGAGAGATTTAATACCGCTCTCACCCCAGGTTGTTGCTGTCTCTGACGACTCCTGGAGTTGCTCCAACGCTGCTGAAGACGGCTGGTCTACAGGTGATTTTGTGGAGGGGGACAACTGGAAACCCGCAGCTTACTACAACGGACACCCACCGTACAAAACAGCTCAACAGGTCACTTTAAAAGCCAAATATAAGCACATAAAACCTTCTCAAGCCTCCACTGATTCATCTATTATTGACATTATTTGTTTGATTGTGCCGTAAAAATAAATGATTGTTTTGTTAAAATAATTGTTTTCTTAACAGGCCTGGCGGAGCATGTCCCTCAATAAAAGGATTATATGGACCGCCTCTGGAGCTGATACAACTGTTTACTGCCGTAAAGTCATGCCTGCAGCTGCTCGTTAGTTTTTATTTTTATGTTTTAGTCGGGGACTTCCTTGATTTTATATTAAGATTTTTATTCTACAGTCCCTAACTAGTATAGTTAGGGACTGTTTTGCATTTTTTAGGTTAGGACTTTCTTGATATGCATTGTTTAAGTTATTTCATCACCAAAACTATATTTTGACCCCTGATTAATATCCCAGCACCAAAGCTAGCCGTATCAGCAGCCTGGAAACTCATCCCTGGAGGCCTTACTAAAATAAGCAAGGGAAAATCTGGTGTATGGGGTGTAAACAGAGTTAATGGTATCTATAGACTCAATGGAGATGGTAAGGAATACATTATTTAACTAAGCAATTAGCTAGTCAGTTAATTATTTAATAATGTTAACATTTTACTAATTAACGTGACAAGGAATACATTATAAATATTTGAGTAATCAATGTAATACATTATTAATATACATATTATATATAATTAATTGATAAACTAATTATTGATACATCACAGGAACTAGCTGGACTAAAATAGCCGGAGGTTTAGTCCAGGTCTCGTCAGGAGCTTCAGTTTGGGGTGTCAATAGAAACGACATGATTTACAGATATAAGGGAGGAAACCAGTGGGAGAATATCGGTGGCCGCCTTACAAATGTTAGTTAATTATCTTATACTTAGCTAATTTATTAGTTAATTACTAATTAGTTTATTGATAAATGTATATAAACTTACCGTTATGATTCTGCTCAGTAAACAAACGTTGGTGAACAAAATTTTAGTTTTAATAACTAAAACGTTCAGCAGATTAAGGTTTTTGTCTGTAGGCTGTGATGTTGTTTTTGTAAAACCAACATAATTAACATAATGATTAATTTACTAATCAATTAATTAACATAAGGATTAGTAAATTAAATAGCATAATTAACATAATGATTGATTAATTATGCAACATAATCACTATAATGTTACAGGTGGATGTGAGTGAAAACGATAACGTCTGGGGAGTTAACCGAGGAGGAAACATCTACAGATGGCTGGGAACCAGGTTTAATTAGTTGACTAACTAGTTAATTATTTAGTTATTCAGTTAATTAGTTAATTATGTATTTAATAAGTTAGTTAATTAGTTAGTTGTTAAAAACTGATTTGGTTGGCAAAAATCGATGGAGCAGATATTAATTAGTTAATTATTTAGTCAATTAGTTAATTAATTAGTTAGTTAATAAGACAGTTTATTGGTTAGTTATTTAGTTAATTAACAACACATATCAGATGGGAGCAGATCGGTGGAGCAGCTATTCAAGTCAGTGTGGGAAATTCTGGAGTATGGGTTGTAAACAGCGCAAACAATATTTACTACAGAGTCGGAACATATGGTGATTCTGGAACTGCTGGAACTGGTGTAAGTTAATTAGCTAATTAGCTAATTAGAACTGGTGTTAATTTATCTATTATTCGCACTGGACATTGAAAACATTAATAAATCTTTTGTATGATTTTATAAAATATAGATACATCCTTGTTCCAGCTGAGAAAATTTAGAATATTCATAATTTGTAACTGGTTCGACTCATGATTTTATCTTCTACCAGTGGACTCACGTACCAGGAAAACTGAAATGGATCTCATCGGGAAATAACATAGTGGTCGGTGTGAATGCTAATAACGATATCTACTACCGATCTGGTATGAGTGCAGATACTCCTACTGGAACTGGATGGAACAAAGTCAATGGAAAGCTAATGAACATCGACCTTCTGGATGATGAGGTACTTTACGCTCCATATATGGGGATCACGCGATGTTTTTATAGCTGACCCCCCCCCCCCCTCTAAATAGTTATAGTCTACCATAAGATACTAATAAGAACATTTTTAAAAAGTTGAATAAAACTGTGCCCGAGTAAAAATTTTCCAAAAATCTGGCTTAATTTTTAGACCAAATTTGCTGCATCCAGATTTTACTCAAATTTAATAATGATAATAACGTTAATTGACGACGTTAACAACGTTGATTGACGACGTTAACAACGGTAATTTAAACTAACGATGTGGATAACATCAAATCTCTTCTTTTCAGGTAGTGGGAACGAACACGGCTATGAACATTTTCAGATGCCCCATGGTGGCCCCACCACCTCCTGTTAAATACTCCCCCTGTGATGAAACTGATAGTTGTGTCAGGGAAGTGGGAATTGGAGCTCTTCTTGCAGCTGGTAATTATTTATTCGGTTATCTAATTAGTTTGGTAATATATTAGTTAATAGTTGGTGCCACCTCCTCTCATATCAAGTACACTCTTTCACTTTGTGATAAGACTGATAGTTGTGTGGCATGTTAAGCATGTTAAGCATCCTTTCCCCTCCGTAAGGCACCCTAAAAGTGTTTCTAACAACAAACAAGGATAATGAAGTAGATCTACAGTGTATCTATATACACTGATAAAAACTAAGCGAGTAATAAAAAACTGCAGGAAGTCAGCTGGTTTCGAAGAACGGTCGAGCTAAGCTAGTTATGCAGGATGACGGTAACCTGGTCCTATACTGTGTGGTCGGAGGAGCAGTGTTGTGGAACAGTGAGTCTAACGGAAAGGGAGTCGACTCCGGACTCAAGCTTCAAGTGAGTTTCATTATGTGATAATCATATCATGTCGTAACACTCCTTATATGGGTATCACGTGATAATGTCATGTTAAAATATCACGTGATACCCAAATAAGAAGTGTTTTATTGTGCGATAATGCCATGTTGGAAGGGTAGTTAATAAAACAAATATTTAATAAAACAAATATTTATTTTTACGGCACAATCAAACAATATCAATAATAAATAAATCAGGGGAGGTTTGAAGAGGTTTCAAGTGCCGAAGGCCACTGCTTATCTTTAGGATTTGAGAGTGACCTGTGCTTAAAACCCCCTCAACCATCCACTACGTCAATATACAGGGTGGGCCAAAAGTCAGTGTGCAAACGTTGGGTCTTATACCTCCGCCGTGTTTTAAATTTGAGAGCTGTTGCTTTGCAAATGACATACTGTACTTACTGGTTCGAGGATTCCGTCGTCAAAATTTGAAAATTCGAATATTTTAGACCACGCCCATTCAATATTAAAACACCTATATTGTTTTCTCAGAACATGCTGAACGCCTAATTTTTTCAGAGACGGTAGATTATCAAATGTTGCATATGATCTGAAAACATGAGGCAAAACGGATTAGAAATGACGAAGTTATCAAGCATTTTGTGTATCTCGTTAACAAAATTGACTGGGTGATTATGTGACACCGTGACACGACACCTTAATTGGGCACCCTTAACAATTCCCATAATGTTTAACGGGGTAGTTAACGGGGTCACCTTATCACGTGATTAGGTAAACCAATCACCTGATCACACGTAATGAATAAACTCGTTATGCTTCATATCTCGGTCATCTGAGAAGCTACAGTTCTAATTCTTTCAGGACAAACGTAATTCGAATGGCCAAACACAATTCAATAATATTTAGCTTGATCCGACTATCCAAACTATCAAATAAATGTGAAAATGAACCTCCATTTGAAAAAAATGAACGCGAATATTTTTCGAGTTGACAAATTCCTCGAACCAGTGGTGGTACTAAGTCATACCAGAAGGAAGTATTTCAATTGGGCAATCAGTGACTGAGCTATTAAGGCCAACGTTTGCACACTGACTTTTGGCCCACCCTGTACTTATTATACAAATATAGAAAAATATAATTATTTAAGCTAAAATTGCTTATTGGTCTAGTTTGGTGACATAGGAGAGCCCAGTTGAGTTTTAGTTTAGGTTTATGTTTTAAATCATAGTTTGAAAGGTTAGCCATGTTTCATGGCAGAGAGAGATATCATGTGTGCAGAGCCGTACCGGATGTAGAATTTGAGATATAATATAGATTAGTTACCATATATTAGGGTCACCTCGATTTTGGAGGGATAGCAAGTGCTTTTTAAGGTTAGATTTAATAATACCTGACGAGGCTGATAAGTCTGAATTTTTGGAAGAACCCGGGATTATTATCCCATCTTCATTAGCATCACATATTTCGAATACATAGGGGATGAGATCATTCCAAATTTTGGCAGTATCGAGATAGCCCGACCACGGTCCGCGGACCACGGTCCGCGGACCAGTGGTCCGCGGACCACTGTCTGCGGACCGTGGTCCGCGGACCACTGTCTACCAGATCATATTACTGTATAATAACAGTATCCCCTGAATCAAGCAACAGGTGTTTGTGAATAGTTGATTGGTTACCAGATCATATGAATGGTATGTATGGTATCTTGGATGCAATTAGTTACGACTAGCATAATTAATTGTAGCGTAGTAAATTACTGGATCAAACTATTGATTACGATTCAAATGTGGTCTCTCGGATATAATTAGTTACGAATAATATTGATTGCTCAATGAAATAAATGATTACGATTAAAATGTGGTATATAAGTCGTTCGGTGGACATTGATAACAACGCAGTTGTTACATTTGGAGCGGACACGAGGAGCATGAGCAGAGGAGTTAGCAAGACCTCCGGCATCAGAAGATGCTACAGGGTCATGAGCAGCGCATGATATACCAGCATGCCTCTTGTTGCAGAAAACGCAGAAGCTTGGGTTGGCTCTGGAGACGATGAGGGTTTTACCAGCTTGAGTCCACTTGTCGAGAGGTGAGATAGGTTTGCAGATAGGGTCGCAGGGTAGGGCTGAGTTCATCCGTTTCGTTTTCTCTGAGACCATAGTTGTAGTTGTTCAAGAAGGAGTTGATGATAGAAATGATTGATGCAGTCTGATAATAGTTATTCTTTATATATTGCATGATGTGAACTGATCTCGTAAGGTTGCTTAATCGTTTAATAAGCCTTGACACCACCGCTGATTGGAATTCGCGTGCGATAATGTGAACCCTGCTTGACTCAGGGGATGATGTGAACCCTGCTTGACTCAGGAGATGCAGATGATGTGAACCCTGCTTGATTCAGAGGATACTGTTATTATACAGTAATATGACAGTGGTCCGCGGACCACGGTCCGCAGACAGTGGTCCGCGGACCACTGGTCCGCGGACCGTGGTCCGCGGACCGTGGTCGGGCTATCTCGATACTGCCCAAATTTTCGTAGAGGTGTACAAAAAGTTCTGTTGGGAGATATCTAACCTCAGTAATGGGACAATCAGACGAAGTTTTTCATTTCTAGGACAGAACTTGAAAAGATCTTTAATCGACTGGGGGACATCAAATTTAAGAATTTTGAACAGTTCCATAAATGTATGGTACATGTGCAGATTCTCCAGGTTGATAATTTTCTGCTCAGTGAATAGCGGTTTAGTGTGTTCAAGACAGTAGTTCTTGCTAGCCATATGTTCGTTATAAGTTCTTGAACGTGCACAGGTTAAGTAGTATTCTTTATGATCAAAATTGGGAATGTTACCAAATAGCAGTCTTATACATCGTTTTTGAATTGCAAAGATTTTATTCAGCATATGTTTAGGGATCCCACCCCAGCAAATTATACAATAGCTAAGATGTGACATAAAAAGAGCATTGTATAGTTTCAAATATTCAGATTTGGGAATGAATTTGCAAATTCTCTTAATCGATACAATACTGGAGTTCAGCTTTAAAGATAAATGATTAAGATGTGGTTCCCAACATAGCTGTTCGTCTATTATCACCCCAAGAAACTTTGTACATTGAACTTTTTCTAGCTTTTTGCCATCTAGTTGCAATTTATTGTGTTAAATGGTGGACATGTTGGTGCATTTAGATTGCTACTTTGAGATCTGTTGAGTGTTGCTCAACCAAAAGAAATATAGTGAAGTATGACATACCTTATCGGACGTTAAATTACCGGATATTGCGTGAACAGCTTATGAACAGATATTAGAATGAACGTTAGGTCCTCTATACTAGCGTCCAATTAATGTCCGTTCAAATGAAGTCCGATAACGTAAACTTGTACGCCCCAATCTAAACACCTCCCTCAGGATGATGGCAACATGGTCCTCTACGCTGGAGACGCTGCCATCTGGGACAGTAAAACTAATGGAAACACCGACGCTGTGGAGCTTGTTGTCCAGAACGATCACAATGTTGTTTTGTACAGCTATGAAGATAGAAGTGTCTTGTGGAAGACTGATACTAACGGAAACAACTGTCCTGATGCCCAATTCGTTGAGAGTAAGCAGATTAATGATTTGTTATAATATAATCTGCTTCTTTTTATATCTTTTCTGTTTAATTGATTGATATTTGTAGGCTTTTTAGTTTGATGTCAAAGTGATGATATCATTGAAGACTAAAAGGTTTGTCCCACAAAAGCTTAGACAACATCCTCTTTCAGACTGTGCTGCAGATAAATGTATCCGGGAATCTCAGGTCGCTTCAATTCTTTCTCTTGGTAAGAATTTAAATGATCTGGCGATTGTTTATAAGGCGCAAATATTACATGTATTAGGATGCAGTGAAACTATATAAAATGTTGAATGTTGATAATTTCTTCTCGCAGCTTGACATTTGAACAAATTAACACGACGATTTAATAGGTAAGAAGATCGTCTCAAAGAACGGAAAAGCTGTGTTCACAATGCAAGCTGACGGTAACCTAGTCCTGACTTGTTCTATTAACAAGAATGTTCTGTGGAAGTCAGACACCAGTGGAGTTGCTGGAGGACTCAAATTCCAGGTACAATAATTATAAAATCATTCCAAATTGTTACCCAATCAATTAGATAACTTAACGAAGTTACCAATTTAATCCAGATTAATTAATTCATCGATTAATTAGTCAATTTAATCCAGAGTGACGGTAACCTTGTCCTCTACGACGCAGACAGAAAGGACCTCTGGGCATCAGACTCTAACGGTAACTATGACAACGCCGAACTAGTAGTACAGGACGACATGAACGTGGTTCTTTACTACTCTGCTGATAGAAAGGCTCTGTGGGCTACCGATACTGATGGGGCTGAGTGTGCTGATCCTCCTAGCACTGTTGGTAAGTGACACTCCTTATTTGGGCATCACGTGACACTCCTTATTTGGGCATCATATTAATACTGTCTTAATAATCTATGAAAAATGAGGGGGCGATAGTGGCAGGTCGAATCCGGGCACTTCATAGTATAGTTATTAGACTTGGGGGGGGGGGGGGGGGGGGGGGTTATTTCATTTTTAAACGCTACAGTCTAACCTTCCTGCTGCTTCATGTCTGCTTATTTAGGCATCATATTAATACTGTCTTAACACTGTCACTGTCAGTGCTGTAGAAGTGTTATAGCGAGCAGACAATAGCTGTAATCTGATTTATCTTCCAAAGAATCAATAAGATCCCTTTTTACCGCGAACCCCGATTTCCCCCAAGCTCCACGGTAGTTGAGGGTTTTACTGTACCTTCATGTACATTGTACAGTGTATACAGCTTAAGGAACTTATTTTACCATTACACGTGTCCAGCACCCAGTTTCATGAGAGGCAAGGTGCCCACGAGAGGATAGCCTGCCTCTTGGGTGTGGCAACCCTCCTAGAATATGATGCCCGGGGGGATGGGGGCCTGCACCAAGCGTCTTATTGTGTCGGAATCACTGGATCAGACCGAGGTGAGCCTTCTTCATTCGGCTCTTCGGGGGTACTTCATCTTTAAACACTACAGTCTAACCTTCCTGCTGCTTCATGTCTAGTTATTTCTAGCTGATTGTCTGACTGTCTACACTCATGCAAGTGTTTAGTCTGCACCGCCGTCCCACTGTAGTCAACATGGAAATTAATTCATGTAATGCGAGCGGGCCATTTCTCTGAGGAAGACTAACAGTAACGGTGGAAAAACACATAATCATGCTTACCAAGTACTAATTCACTGGATTTATATGCTTAAAGATAATGACTATAACATGGAACATACTTTGTCACTAGTAGCAGCTGGTGAATCAGCACGGTTTGATGTGTGCTGCACGTGCTGTAATATGTATGCACGTGGTGTCATGACGGTAGGGCATACGTAAACATAACACTAGTGCGAAACATTCTGCGTAAAGCTCATAGCATTAGAAGTATGCGTAAACTTGTGTAATTCACAGCGATAATTATATATCGTGTTATTCGGTTTTGCACCTCAGGGTATAACTCAAGGGTCGACCTCGGCCTCGGTTTTATCAAAGCAAAATTTCCTCGGCCTCGGCCGCAAATCCTGCCCTCGGTCGACCCTTGGTATAACTGTTTAATATGTTGTTGTCCTCCGGAAGGTGCCAGTAGTTCTAATGACCAATTTAAATACAAATTTATATTCAAATAATATTATAATTAAAGAACTGCACCCCAATTTTAGTAGTCTGAAAACGTGATAAATCGAAAGTTCGCTGATTACAATCGTACATGTCAAAATCAATTTTTTATCTCAAATACTTGATACTTCCAGTCTTGCATGGAAAATGAAATGTTATTACTCAATGTTAAAAACACTCCTTATATGGGAATCACGTGATACTTTAATAGCGTCATCAAGGTAGACGCGAAGAGGAGGGAGTCTGTCATTGTTAACCATTATATGAACCATTATATGGCTGTTAACTTGATAGCTGCAGATTCCATTCTTTAGTCCAAACGTCACGAGCCGGCTATTATAAATGCTCCCGGCTACTAGGTGGCCTATAAGTGGCACATCAAACACAGTCACTAACCGGTCACTAGCCGGTCACTAGCCAGCTAGTGGCCGGCTAGTGACCGAATAGTAGCCAGTATGCGGTCAATAGCCGGCTAGTAGCCGGCTACTGCTAGTGACCAGTTGTGACATGATAATGACATGATAATGAATAAATGGTTATGACATAGACCGGTAGCTCAGTTGGTAGAGCAACTAGCATGTAACTCAGAGGTTAATGGCGGATCAAACCCGCCCGGCACTATGCAGTATGCCGGCCCATGATTTTCCGAATTATTTACCAGTAAAAATCAAATAATCCATTCAAATATCTGCTTGCACACATTGTTGATGCAAACATAGCCCACTCACAACTAAGTTATGACAAGGTTATGACATGGTTAATGGTTATGGCATGGTTATGCCACCGGGATTCTTATCTACACCTTATTGGACCTTATTTAACCTGACATGTTAAATGAACGGACATTAAAATGAACGGACATTAAAATGAACACTCAAAGTCAAAGACATTCAAAACCATCAAAAATCCAAATTTTTTATATTTTTTTGGCGTTTTTTTAGTTTTAGCATATTTCATACAATAAGCAAAAAATGCAGTCGTTAAGCAATAAAAACGTTCAAATGTCTGTCATATATTAGTGTCTATGATAATGAAAGTTGTGTAAAAACAACAAATACTTAATATTCGACCAGATTTGATGAACATATCACAGGTCATCTTCGTCAGATGGGTAATCGTGCATTACATATTTCACCTCCATCATATCAGTAATACCCGCTTTTTGAAAGTCATTTTTTATTAGACCACTTCGGTCCTGCATTTTATAAGATGTGGAGGCAGATAGTATCTTCGAAGAAGTGAACAAGGAAGCCGAAGATCAAGAAAGTGATCATGTCATAATGAGATACTTGGAATATTTAAATTTGATAATAACTTGTTTTTCATTGATCCAATGATATAGTTTATTCCGATGAACATAATTAAAATTTACTGAAATTAAAAAGCTAAAGTGATCATATCCTAGACATGAGTTAGCAGTGGAATAATTTTAGGAAAAAATTCAACGGACTTTAACTTGGACAGACCTTAAACAGTCCGGTAGGAGGTGCATTGAAGTTTCTTTTTTTCTTCGGTTTTTAATGTAGTGTTAAGGTTTTTGATGACGGCTGCATGCTTGGAGCCCTATGTCATTTTGGGTATGACATCAGGTGTTATACATAACTTGGTTTTCCTAAATACTATCACATTCAAATAGGGATATAGTAGGAAGGTTCGCTATATCAAAAGATTGTCAAGTTATTGCTACCTCCGGCTTATATATATTATATCTGTTGTTCATTATGTTCATCACGAGTATGGTGTTTGGTAACCGTAATGTCCATGATTAAATAGGTTTCACGTGATCCTCATTGTCTCCCCTTTGAAGAACGTCCCGCCGTAATAATATTAATTTGGTCGACTGCAGTTTGAACTTTGAGTTAACGGGTGATACTCGTAAAATATTTGTTCTAAACTCGGCGCGCTTCTTGGTAGGTTATAAATCTACAAATTGCAGTGGCCTGACCGAGTTTGTCCTTATAGGAGTATTGGGACTCAAACCCCTGCCGCCTGTATGGAAGATGTTTGTGCTAACCACTAGACCACACAGCCAAGTAGCTTCCGTGATTTTTTCATCCATCGCGTAATGCTCACAGTCGAATACCACTACCACTATCACGTCCACCAACGCCGTAGTGGCCTGTTCCTATAAGCCTGAATTATTAATTAATAATTTCTGGATTTTCCGCTTGCTAAAGATTTGTTCTTTTGCTAACGACAATTTGTATATCACATTTTCCTATGCGGGCAGTCAAATTCGTACTCCATTATAATAGCATTATCACAAGCCTGAAGCCTTTTACACATTTTTAATGAGGCATTGATCCAATATAAGAATATAAAACGACTGAGCCTATCTGTGTCATTACTTAGATTTTCCGATTGAACTGATTAAAGGCTTCAATATGAAGTTTATTGTTGCTGCTTTTGTCTTAGGTCTGACATGTGTTGATTCTTCTGTGCCCGATGGTAAGTTAATGTCCTTTTATTGCCCTGCACCATGCCTATTGTCTAGTTACAGTTGCCTAATTACAGTTGCCTAGTTATCAATCTTAACCATGCCTCTGAATCCCTATTCAACTTTCTGATGGAGATTCTTTCTTTTGTTGATAAAATGAGCGAGTGAAAGATCTTTTTATCGGTTTCAAAGCTTTCTTCAAAACATCAAGCCAGTATAAACAAGGACACTGTTAAATTTCCCTCCCATTTCACTCCCGTTTCCCAGCACAATGCACCAGACAAAGTCTTGGTTGCTGGACTGATGCTGCAGCTAGAGCCATCTCCGGGGGCATCAGGTTCAACTCTGTAAACGTTGATGACTGCCAGAAGTATGCTACTGACCGAGGATATGCTGTGTTTGCTGTCCAGTACAACTCAGAGTGCTTCACTGCTGAGGATGCTGAGGCTACCTATAATAAGTACGGGGTGTCAGCTGCGTGTGCTGCTACTGGCCGAGGGGGTGGTTGGGCTAACAATGTGTATAAAGTTTCTTGTGTAGGAACAGGTAATGGAGTATCACTCATGTCATGTCATGTCACTTTTTACACCATCCTCCACCATTAACTTTGATTTCACCAGCAACCTTCCCCATATTTGCCACACCCTAGGGTAGGCAGAGCATCTCTCGTATCCTCTCGTAGGCTAACTTGGCCAAGCCTCTCATTAAAAAAGAGAAATAAAAAAGAGGGTAATGGCATACACTGCTTGGATAATATGGATAACCAATACCCAACCCGAAGAAGGCACAAATTAAATTAATTGGAGACATGTCAATGAGGAGACATCTGACATGCATCTCATCTAAATAATTAGTAACTATTAGACCAATCTTAGGAAGCGTATAAAGTGTACTGACCAGAAAGCCACTTTACGTAATGAAGTAATGAATGGTCCACCTTCAGTACTGTAAAAGCTGAGAATTAATATAATTCTTCAAAGTGTTTATTGTCTAGAATAAAGTTGTTGCATATTAATTTTACCTCAACACAAAGTTAAGTTTTTACTTGGATAAGGTGACAATAAAATAGTTCGCATTGATTTTGCGATTATTACTCTTAACCGCTGGTATAAGTAAGAAAGTGTTCCTTATTAACGACTGCATTATAACTTCCAGGAACTTGGAGCAAGAACGCTGGTAAATATCTGAGCGGCTACAGCGCAGGAAATGCCAAGTATGACAGTCTTCTGAGGTCCCAGAGCGAATGTATCAAACGATCCGGTCAGTTCACACTTGCAGTTAATTAGATAATATATTAGACAATTAATTGGTTATATTGAAATTAAATACAACAAATACAAAATCTCTGGTAGATAAATAAATACCACTTTCTTCCACTAGACTGTGGAGGTATCACATACGAGACCAATTCTAAAAAGTTCACTCTGCGAAGAGGAGTTGACCTCAAGGACAGTCCCTCCAACGAAATTTCCTGGTTGGCTATCTCAAGCGACGATGAAGGTAATTAGTCATATAATTAGTCATAATTAGTCATAATTCGTCATGTAATTAGTCATAATTAGTCATATAATTAGTCATAAATAGTCACAAATAGTCATAATTAGTCATAACTATTGTTATGGAGTTTACTCTATGTTAGATCATGGTCATTCTCCAGCAAGATTTTCAGAAGCCTATTCCTGGCTGGCAATCGTTTTTATTATTCTGTTGCGAGATTTTAGCACTTTGATGTTTGAATATTATAACTACTGACTTCACCAGTTGTGTATTCATTTCAATTGTATCAGAAAAATATTGCATTAGTTCTCACTGCTCACTGGTCGCTTTTACTCACTAGTCACATGATTGTTTGATTCAGGTGGTCACATTTTCGGCGCTAAAGTCTCAACAGAATACGAACTCCACAAAGCTCTGGAAGTTGGAGATGTTATTTCTGCATTCGGACTGTACAAGGATCACACCACTAGCAAATTCAAGTAATTATACGTTTTGTAATGAGTTATAGCATAGATTTAGGAGTTCATATGTAGATTTAGGAGTTTATAGATTTATGAGTTTATAGATTTAGGAGTTTATAGATTTATGAGTTTATAGATTTAGGAGTTTATAGATTTATGAGTTTATAGATTTAGGAGTTTATAGATTTATGAGTTTATAGATTTAGGAGTTTATAGATTTAGGAGTTAATAGATTTATGAGTTTATAGATTTAGGAGTTTATAGATTTAGGAGTTTATTGATTTAGGAGTTCATAGATTTAGAAGATCTAAGACTTGATAGATTTAGAAGTTTTTATTTCTCCAATTCTTAACCATCAATTTCAGCTTGAACATCAAAGGAGCTAACAACTTGTTCCTGCTTCATGTCGACTTCAGACCAACGGGCGACCAGCTTGTTCTCAACTCTAACCAACCTGGTGTAGGCTGGCAGGCGGAAGTCAGGTATATACAATAAATGTGTTTTGATTAGTTATGTAATATAAATACATTATTTATGAGTCGCATTATTGTGATGTCTCTGATGAACATTCATGATAATTCCGCATATGCGACAAAGGGAAAATGCTCTTTTCAGGTCAATTGGTTATACTTAACAAACACAAGCATCTATTTTTTGTGGGAGACAAAGTCGCTAATATATGCTGAATTCCACTATATAACAATAACAATCCTAACTAAATAATTTAATTGATTAACTAATTAACTAAATAATAATCACCCTCAGGCCAGCATTCCCTAAGGCTAAGCTAGTCGGAGGAAAGATATTCAAAGTGTCAGTAGAGGTATTAGAGGGAGAATACAGGATCTTGTTTAACGACGAGGAAGTCGGCAAGTTCCCCCAGAGACAGAGCATCAGTCTTGCATCTCACAGTAAGTCGGATATCGCGGGGATCTAGGAAACTGGTGACCTTTGCGTTCATAATAATTTTTGATTCCTGTTAGATTCCTGTTAGATTCCTGTTAGATTCCTGTTAGATTCCTGTTAGATTCCTGTTAGATTCCTGTTTGATTCCTGTTTGATTTCCGTTTGGGCCAAACGGTTTGGCTCCTGTTTAATTCCCGTTTCCCACTAGTCATACTGTACGGAGGAAGTAACGGTTTCGAATGGAAAGCAGCCCAACTGCCACCAGGCGTTGCTGGACCCGGCCTCTCTAAACCATGTGGTACCGGTGATAAGCTCCACTTTGACAAGACTAATGAAGTTGGAGATATTATTACAGGTATGGGAGTGATTAATTAGTTTATTAATGGAGTAATAGTTAATGCTGCTTAAACTTATCTGTTAACATTCGGTACAAATCAATACTGCTTGATAAATTGAATGAAATACGTAATTTTTACAGGCTATATTGACCGGGTTTTGTTTCTTAAAATTAGTTATTTTAATACATTATGCAAACATGCTAATTATGCAAACATGCTAATTATGCAAACATGCTAATTATGCAAACATGCTAATTATGCAAACATGCTAATTATGCAAACATACTAATTATGCAAACATGCTAATTATGCAAACATGCTAACTCGTGTTAATTTCAGTTTGGGGTATCTTTGCTGATAAGACCTCAGCATTCAGTGTGAATCTGATCAAGGACGATAGCAACTTCATGCTGCACATCTCATTCAGACCCCCACCAAGTGAAAACAAGGTAGACAGCTTTATTTATTTGTTATTATTTTTGATACTGGTAAAATAGTAAACTGGATTACTGAAAAACTTGTGAACTGTAACCAACTTAATTTTTGAGACGGATGAATTTATGATTAACATTTTCTTAGTTATTCTTTAAGTACTTGAATGTTATATTTAAGCAACTCTTTCTTTTCCCGGAAATCCGGAACAATCATACAATCCGTCCAGCAACGTAATTCCATCAAGTCATTATCAAGCAATTTGTAAAGTAAACGTTGGTTTTTAATGAAATATCTCCAAATCGGTGGTTTGCAGTGATACCAAGGCATATATCTGGAGATCCAACTATACAATTTTCTTGAAACTTTCCAGATATTAAGATAGCTTTAAGACGAATAATCTGTGCATGCTTGGATGAATTTCTATGTGCCAAATTTGAGATATCACTGCAAACACAAGAAAAATATGCTGTCGAACAGGAGTCGTGTTACCAATATTCACAAATGCTCTACAATCTACATCGTTACACAAAACTGTACAAATACTTCTCTTCAGATTGTACTGAACTCTAAACTGAACGGTGCTTGGCAAACTGAAATCAGAGCTGCTATGCCAGCATTCGTGAACGGTGGACCATTCAAGGTTCAGATCGAGCTGCTCCTCAATGAGTTTAAGATTTACGTTAACGGAAACGTAAGTGAAACAGTCAATAATAAACGAATATTCATATTGCATAAGTATTTATTTCGATGGATATTATTAACATCGATATATATCTCTTCCTCACCTTGATATCATCTTCATTCTTCAAATTTATAACAACTGTTCCCTCAGGACATTGGAGTCTCGTTCCCATACAGAGAGGGATTCTCCCTTGGTGATATCCAATTCCTGTACAATGTTGGAGGAAGTAACGGTATGACCTTCACTGATATGTCACCTCCTGATGATAAGAACGTCGGTAAGTCATAATTAGTCGTGTAATTAGTCGTATAATTAGTCGCATAATTAGTCGTGTAATTAGTCGTATAATTAGTCATATAATTAGTCGTATCATTAGTCATATAATTGGTCGTATATTTAGTCATATAATTAGTCCTATAATTAGTCGTATAATAAGTCATAAACAGTCATAAATTTTTTCAACAAGCTTTAACAACAATTCCCCCAGGAGCAAACCTGATGTCAACTGGTCTGTCTGTCAGCCAGAACAGTGTGGGGTGGGGAGGAGTACCTGCACGTGCCATTGACGGTAACAGGAATGGAATATGGGCAGCCGCGTAAGACACATTTATTTAAAATTTGTAATTCTAGTAAATGTAATTAAAAATATATACATATATGTATATTGAGTTGTGTTATTCTAACTTTAGATTTCATAAACGATATTAGCTGAGAAATATTTTCACTTATTGGAAGTTTATCCGTTTGTTTTTGCAATCTAAAAATATGCAGAATTTACATCATGATCCAATATAATGAATAATTAACAATTATTAATTATTTTCGAATAAATTAATACTGAATAACCAACTTTCTTCAGAACATGTACTCACTCTGCTGGCAACTCCGGTAACTGGTGGAAAGTGGAGCTCGGACAAATGTCTGCTATCAACAGAGTCGTTGTCTACAACAGATTGGATTGCTGTTCCGACAGAATTAACGGTGCTAAGGTCCGTTTTCAAGCAAATTTTAATACTTGATCAGTTGTTAAATTTTAATAAGGCATTGTATGAAAAAGTTGTTATCCTCGATATTGCTGTTTGATAAAATTAACTATTTCTAAACATTACTTAATGTAGGTATACGCGGGTGCCAACCTTTGTGGGGAAGTGAAATACGAGGCTGGAAAGGCTGCTTTCACAGTTGAATGTGGTGGTGCTGTTGGTGATTCTCTGACGATCTCGCAACCTTACAACTATCTGACCCTCTGTGAGGTTGAGATCTACGGAAAACCATCTGATCTGAAGGCGCTTGCTAATGTCGCTCCTGGTATGTTATACTGTTAAGTGAATTATATTCGAAGTTAGTTTTTTTAATTTAATTAAGAATTAATTAACAACCTTTAATTGGTCCACTATTTCTTTTTAATTAACCACCCAATAACTTATAAAACTAATAGTCTAACCAACTAATTAATTAATCAATTAACCAATGGAAAAATTAACCAATTAACTAATTAACTAGTTAACCAATTAACTAATTAACCAACTAACCTGCACCAGGTAAGCCAACATGGCAGAGCAGCGTAGGATGGGGAGGTGTCCCCCAACGTGCCACTGACGGAAGAATCAGCGGACGGTGGCCAGCTGGAACTTGCACTCACTCAGCTAACGCTGGGAGCAACAAGTTAGTAGAGCAACTTGTTAATAGAACAACTTGTTAGTAGAGCAACTTGTTAGTAGAACAACTTGTTAGTAGAGCAACTTGTTAGTAGAGCAACAAGTTAGTAGAGCAACAAGTTAGTAGAGCAACAAGTTAGTAGAGCAACAAGTTAGTAGAGCAATTTGTTAGTAGAGCAACTTGTTTGTAGAGCAACTTGTTAGTAGAGCAACAAGTTAGTAGAGCAACTTGTTAGTAGAGCAACTTGTTAGTAGAGCAACAAGTTAGTAGAGCAATTTGTTAGTAGAGCAACTTGTTAGTAGAGCAACTTGTTAGTAGAGCAACAAGTTAGTAGAGCAACTTGTTAGTAGAGCAACAATTGTTAGTAGAGCAACAAGTTAGTAGAACAACCTGTTAGTAGAGCAACAAGTTAGTAGAACAACCTGTTAGTAGAGCAATTTGTTAGTAGAACAACCTGTTAGTAGAGCAACTTGTTAGTAGAGCAACAAGTTAGTAGAGCAATTTGTTAGTAGAGCAACAAGTTAGTAGAGCAACAAGTTAGTAGAGCAACTTGTTAGTAGAGCAATTTGTTAGTAGAACAACCTGTTAGTAGAGCAATTTGTTAGTAGAGCAACAAGTTAGTAGAGCAACTTGTTAGTAGAGCAACTTGTTAGTAGAGCAATTTGTTAGTAGAACAACCTGTTAGTAGAGCAATTTGTTAGTAGTGCAACAAGTTAGTAGAGCAACTTGTTAGTAGAGCAATTTGTTAATAGAACAACCTGTTAGTAGAGCAACAAGTTAGTAGAGCAACTTGTTAGTAGAGCAACTTGTTAGTAGAGCAACAAGTTAGTAGAACAACCTGTTAGTAGAGCAACTTGTTAGTAGAGCAACAAGTTAGTAGAGCAACTTGTTAGTAGAACAACAAGTTAGTAGAGCAACAAGTTAGTAGAGCAATTTGTTAGTAGAACAACCTGTTAGTAGAGCAACTTGTTAGTAGAGCAACAAGTTAGTAGAGCAATTTGTTAGTAGAGCAACAATTGTTAGTAGAGCAACAAGTTAGTAGAGCAACTTGTTAGTAGAGCAATTTGTTAGTAGAACAACCTGTTAGTAGAGCAATTTGTTAGTAGAGCAACAAGTTAGTAGAGCAACTTGTTAGTAGAGCAACTTGTTAGTAGAACAACCTGTTAGTAGAACAACCTGTTAGTAGAGCAATTTGTTAGTAGTGCAACAAGTTAGTAGAGCAACTTGTTAGTAGAGCAATTTGTTAATAGAACAACCTGTTAGTAGAGCAACAAGTTAGTAGAGCAACTTGTTAGTAGAGCAACTTGTTAGTAGAGCAACAAGTTAGTAGAGCAACTTGTTAGTAGAGCAACAAGTTAGTAGAGCAATTTGTTAGTAGAGCAACTTGTTAGTAGAGCAACTTGTTAGTAGAGCAACAAGTTAGTAGAGCAACTTGTTAGTAGAGCAACAATTGTTAGTAGAGCAACAAGTTAGTAGAACAACCTGTTAGTAGAGCAACAAGTTAGTAGAACAACCTGTTAGTAGAGCAACAAGTTAGTAGAACAACCTGTTAGTAGAGCAATTTGTTAGTAGAACAACCTGTTAGTAGAGCAACTTGTTAGTAGAGCAACAAGTTAGTAGAGCAATTTGTTAGTAGAGCAACAAGTTAGTAGAGCAACAAGTTAGTAGAGCAACTTGTTAGTAGAGCAATTTGTTAGTAGAACAACCTGTTAGTAAAGCAATTTGTTAGTAGAGCAACAAGTTAGTAGAGCAACTTGTTAGTAGAGCAACTTGTTAGTAGAGCAATTTGTTAGTAGAACAACCTGTTAGTAGAGCAATTTGTTAGTAGTGCAACAAGTTAGTAGAGCAACTTGTTAGTAGAGCAATTTGTTAATAGAACAACCTGTTAGTAGAGCAACAAGTTAGTAGAGCAACTTGTTAGTAGAGCAACTTGTTAGTAGAGCAACAAGTTAGTAGAACAACCTGTTAGTAGAGCAACTTGTTAGTAGAGCAACAAGTTAGTAGAGCAACTTGTTAGTAGAACAACAAGTTAGTAGAGCAACAAGTTAGTAGAGCAATTTGTTAGTAGAACAACCTGTTAGTAGAGCAACTTGTTAGTAGAGCAACAAGTTAGTAGAGCAATTTGTTAGTAGAGCAACAATTGTTAGTAGAGCAACAAGTTAGTAGAGCAACTTGTTAGTAGAGCAATTTGTTAGTAGAACAACCTGTTAGTAGAGCAATTTGTTAGTAGAGCAACAAGTTAGTAGAGCAACTTGTTAGTAGAGCAACTTGTTAGTAGAACAACCTGTTAGTAGAACAACCTGTTAGTAGAGCAATTTGTTAGTAGTGCAACAAGTTAGTAGAGCAACTTGTTAGTAGAGCAATTTGTTAATAGAACAACCTGTTAGTAGAGCAACAAGTTAGTAGAGCAACTTGTTAGTAGAGCAACTTGTTAGTAGAGCAACAAGTTAGTAGAGCAACTTGTTAGTAGAGCAACAATTGTTAGTAGAGCAACAAGTTAGTAGAACAACCTGTTAGTAGAGCAACAAGTTAGTAGAACAACCTGTTAGTAGAGCAACAAGTTAGTAGAACAACCTGTTAGTAGAGCAATTTGTTAGTAGAACAACCTGTTAGTAGAGCAACTTGTTAGTAGAGCAACAAGTTAGTAGAGCAATTTGTTAGTAGAGCAACAAGTTAGTAGAGCAACAAGTTAGTAGAGCAACTTGTTAGTAGAGCAATTTGTTAGTAGAACAACCTGTTAGTAGAGCAATTTGTTAGTAGAGCAACAAGTTAGTAGAGCAACTTGTTAGTAGAGCAACTTGTTAGTAGAGCAATTTGTTAGTAGAACAACCTGTTAGTAGAGCAATTTGTTAGTAGTGCAACAAGTTAGTAGAGCAACTTGTTAGTAGAGCAATTTGTTAATAGAACAACCTGTTAGTAGAGCAACAAGTTAGTAGAGCAACTTGTTAGTAGAGCAACTTGTTAGTAGAGCAACAAGTTAGTAGAACAACCTGTTAGTAGAGCAACTTGTTAGTAGAGCAACAAGTTAGTAGAGCAACTTGTTAGTAGAACAACAAGTTAGTAGAGCAACAAGTTAGTAGAGCAATTTGTTAGTAGAACAACCTGTTAGTAGAGCAACTTGTTAGTAGAGCAACAAGTTAGTAGAGCAATTTGTTAGTAGAGCAACAATTGTTAGTAGAGCAACAAGTTAGTAGAGCAACTTGTTAGTAGAGCAATTTGTTAGTAGAACAACCTGTTAGTAGAGCAATTTGTTAGTAGAGCAACAAGTTAGTAGAGCAACTTGTTAGTAGAGCAACTTGTTAGTAGAACAACCTGTTAGTAGAACAACCTGTTAGTAGAGCAATTTGTTAGTAGTGCAACAAGTTAGTAGAGCAACTTGTTAGTAGAGCAATTTGTTAATAGAACAACCTGTTAGTAGAGCAACAAGTTAGTAGAGCAACTTGTTAGTAGAGCAACTTGTTAGTAGAGCAACAAGTTAGTAGAGCAACTTGTTAGTAGAGCAACCTGTTAGTAGAGCAACTTGTTAGTAGAGCAACAAGTTAGTAGAGCAACTTGTTAGTAGAGCAACTTGTTAGTAGAGCAACTTGTTAGTAGAGCAACTTGTTAGTAGAGCAACTTGTTTGTAGAGCAACTTGTTAGTAGAGCAACAAGTTAGTAGAGCAACTTGTTAGTAGAGCAATTTGTTAGTAGAGCAACAAGTTAGTAGAGCAATTTGTTAGTAGAACAACCTGTTAGTAGAGCAACTTGTTAGTAGAGCAACAAGTTAGTAGAGCAATTTGTTAGTAGAGCAACAATTGTTAGTAGAGCAACAAGTTAGTAGAGCAACTTGTTAGTAGAGCAATTTGTTAGTAGAACAACCTGTTAGTAGAGCAATTTGTTAGTAGAGCAACAAGTTAGTAGAGCAACTTGTTAGTAGAGCAACTTGTTAGTAGAACAACCTGTTAGTAGAACAACCTGTTAGTAGAGCAATTTGTTAGTAGTGCAACAAGTTAGTAGAGCAACTTGTTAGTAGAGCAATTTGTTAATAGAATAACCTGTTAGTAGAGCAACAAGTTAGTAGAGCAACTTGTTAGTAGAGCAACAAGTTAGTAGAACAACCTGTTAGTAGAGCAACTTGTTAGTAGAGCAACAAGTTAGTAGAACAACCTGTTAGTAGAGCAACAAGTTAGTAGAGCAACAAGTTAGTAGATCAACTTGTTAGTAGAGCAACTTGTTAGTAGAGCAACTTGTTAGTAGAGCAACAAGTTAGTAGAGCAACTTGTTAGTAGAGCAACAATTGTTAGTAGAGCAACAAGTTAGTAGAGCAACTTGTTAATAGAACAACCTGTTAGTAGAGCAACAAGTTAGTAGAGCAACTTGTTAGTAGAGCAACTTGTTAGTAGAGCAACCTGTTAGTAGAGCAACTTGTTAGTAGAGCAACAAGTTAGTAGAGCAACTTGTTAGTAGAGCAACTTGTTAGTAGAGCAACTTGTTAGTAGAGCAACTTGTTAGTAGAGCAACTTGTTTGTAGAGCAACTTGTTAGTAGAGCAACAAATTAGTAGAGCAACTTGTTAGTAGAGCAATTTGTTAGTAGAGCAAACATTAACTTATGAATAAACATTAAACAAAGTAGATATTAAGCTGTAAACGATAAAATACAAGCGATGATACTCAGTCAAACAAGAAATTCAGTCAGACAAGAATTTATTTGTATTTACAGTCTAAGCAAAACCAGGATAAAAAATTTAATCAGACATTAAAAGGAAATCTAATACGTATATCATGGTTGTCACTCCTTACCTCTAGTTTACAGTTTACTTCATGTGAAGTGTACCCTTACAAGATAACACTCCTACATTAATTTAGGTGGAAGGTTGACCTTCTGGATATGTTCACCGTGGACTCAGTTGTTATCTACAACAGACTGGATTGCTGTTCTGAGAGGATTAACGGTGCTAAGGTTAGACATATCTTTATATTATAGATTCGTCCGGGTGTTTGAATTTGAGTGAGAATAGCCTGGAACAACCTTAAAAGTGTTTTGCTGTTTTCTTTATTGGGTTCTTGTAAGCTGTGGTTCTTTAAATCACATTATTTTAAATAACCAGCTAAAGTGGTCTAATCTGCAGGTATATGTCGGTGCTGAGCTATGTGGTTCTTTAAATCACATTACTTTTAATAACCAGCTAGTGTTACCAGTATTACCAGTATTACCAGTAGTATTACCAGTATTACCAGTAGTATCACCAGTTTTACCAGTAGTATCACCAGTTTTACCAGTAGTAATAACAAGTCGTCTAATCTGCAGGTATATGTCGGTGCTGAGCTCTGTGGAGCTGTCGAGTATGTTGCTGGACAGTCCGTGTACAAGATTGATTGCGGAGGTAAAGTGGGATCAGTTATTCAGATCACCCAGGATGGACAGTACCTGACACTTTGTGAAGTCCAAGTTCTTGGTAAGTCTTTGAAAACTTTTCGATGGAAATTATCTTTGATAGAAGTATGATTTAAAGTTATTCTGAGTAAGCATACGGTTTTCAGTCTGTAAAAATTCAGTTTATCTTTTTTTTAGCCAAATTAGAATTTGTCTCGGCTCTTAATTCCTAACATTATTTGTATCAACCCCTCCATCTCAGCCACGCCAAGTGACGATCTAGGAACTTTCCTTAACGTAGCTGCTGACGGAGTAGCAAGCCAGTCCAACACTGGATGGAACGGAGTTGCTGACCGAGCTATCGATGGCAACATTGCTGGAGACTATTTCGAGTAAGTTAATGTGATCAAACCACACTGGGAGCTATCATTTTGAAAAAGATTTATGTTCAATGGGAAAACTTAATATGATATGTAAATAGAATTTAGACTGATTAAAAGCAGGTATATGCAATATTTTTACAAATGTGCTCAATAAATGCACTTATTTTTCATTAATAACTTATGTTTAATTACCATGTAACTTATCTCCAGTGGTGCTAGTTGCTCTCACACTGGAAACACAGTTGACGGATACTGGAAACTCGACTTTGATGATGCTGTAGCTGTGAAACAAGTCGTCATCTACAACAGAGAGGATTGTTGTGCTGACCGAATCAACGGAGTCAGCGTAAGTTAATTATTTGTTAAATAATTGTATATTATTTGTTGAATAATTGCATAATATTGATTAATTTTACCAACATAATTTGAAAGGAATGACGGCAGGTTTTGCCATACTCTGATCAATTCCAGTTTATTCCGGTTTATCTTCGACCATTCTAAGCTTGCTATTTAAATAAATTTTCTGACTACAAGTCAGGTCTCCTCTGTAAGCTCTTTCAGCTCCATCGCAAAGTTATTTAATCTGGTGGATTCGTGTAGTGTTATCGAGTCTCATGATTTGATAGTTCTTTCATTCAAATTTCTGATTATTTCTGAATAGACTCAGTGAAGACATATTCTAATGGAAATAAATAGCTGAATAACGTATCGAAATTTTTACGTCATACTCATATTCTGAAATAGTATTAATTCAAAGTTATTTAATTCAACACAACATTCCCCACTTCCCCAGGTATTCGCTGGAGACACACTTTGTGGTAAGATTGCCTATGTGGAGGGACAGAAAGCTTACAAAGTTGGTTGTAATAGTGATACAGTGAAAATGTTTGAAAGTGTTACTATTAAAGCAGCACCCAACCAATACTTGACTCTCTGCGAGGTAAGTCATAATTAGCAAGTCATAATTAGCAAGACATAATTAGTCATAATTAGTCATAATTAGTGTTACCATCAAGGCAGCACGTACCTAACCAATACGTCTTGCTTACTTAACTCTTTGTGAGGTAAAAATGTATGCTTTTATAACTATAACTATGCGTATACCTTATCACCATTTATAATAGTTATATCTTTTTAACTAAAAAGTAATGTTTTGATCAATTTTTTCAGACGGTTTATAAATGTTTGTTCATAAGTCTTTATACTTTTATAAATGTAAGTATTTTAACTGTAATATTAACCATTAAATTATAGGTGAAAGTACTGGCAGATCCCCGAGTAGAATCCGGAGATGAACATCTCGCTAACCTTGCCTTCGGTAAACCAACTTCACAGACTTCAACTGGATGGGGAGGTGTCTCTAGCCGTGCTGTTGATGGCAAAGAGGCTGGTAAATGGACTGCGTAAGTAGAGATTAATTGAAATATTGAGTTGCTTAGGTGTATGTAACAAAGTAATGCGAATGATCGATCACATTGATTTTAGTCTCTTCGTTTAGGATTGAAAGGTCAAAGAACATATTATATATAATTTGTATATATATAAGGACACGTTCATTGAAGTTTGAGGATATTGGTAAATTTCTAAAATAGCGTTTTTGACGATAGTGGCTTAATTTTAGCATCTATTAATCTAGCGTGTTCATAAGTTCTGAACATTAGCCACGTGACCCATACTCCCATATGCACTGCTCAGAAATAAAATGTATTGCTTTTAGGCACTATAATGTAAAAAATGTCACATTTTTGTGACATTGTTTACCATAGCTGCCCAATTATCATTCCTTGGTCTGAAATATAGTAGATTAGGTCAATCTAACAATTATGATACAACATTGGTTAAAGGGCACGGATCGAACGGCTTTAAGGCAATATTTCGTAAACTTTGTCACACTCAGAATACGAGACCTCTTTTCTACTGTGAGGTGTCCTCAAAACCCTTTCAACTCATTATTTGATGGTTCTTCTGCCAATCATAGCCCTAGAATATGTTGTTTTGAAAAGTTAGCTAATACATGCACTTGGTTATTCGGAAATGATGTAAATTCTGTCACATTATATGGAATTTGAAATTCTGGGTGAATTTCCGAAATCATTTATATCTGATTTTGGTTTGGAAGGCGGGAAAACTCTATATAAGGACGATACACGGATACAGTTGATTCAAGTATAGGGCACTTGATGTAAAAATCGTCACAAAATGATACGACAACGTAAATAAGTTACATTTTGCGGGAAAACTCTATATAAGGACGATACACGGATACAGTTGATTCAAGTATAGGGCAGTTGATGTAAACATCGTCACAAAATGATAAGACATCATAAATAGGTTAAATTTGGAAACAATGCAATGATTATAGAATGGAATAGTCTGTGATTAACATATTACATACATTATAAAATGTTCTTCCAGAAATTATTGGTTGGTTATTGTTTAGCAAAATAAAACTCAAGTTTAACAATGCTGAGTTTAATTTTACCAAGTTACTGAAATGTGACGAAATTTACTTTTCCTGCCCCAACAGTATAATTTCAATGTGATGAAAAATTGGCATGGGTTTCTATATTTCCTGTATAAATCCATTCTAACTATAATAAGGACTATTGATATGAAAGAAAATCTATCTAAATTTTAAAATGACGTATGTGACGAAATTTACATTTCTTGCCCCTATTTTGAAGAACCATTTACCATACCTCGGTTAAAATTCAATTTTCCTCCAGGAATTATTGGTTGGTTATTGTTCTGCAAATTAGAACTCAAGTTTAACAATGCTGAGTTTAATTTTACTAAGTTACTGAAATGTGACAAAATTCACTTTTCCTGCCCCAACAGTATAGTTTCAATGTGATGAAAAATTGGCATGGGTTTCTACATTTCTTGTATAAATCCATTCTTGCTATAATAAGGGCAGTTGATATGAAAGAAAATCTATCTAACTAATGCTATGGCTAATGTGACGAAATTTACATTTCTTGCCCCTATTTTGAAGAATCATACCTCAATTAGTATATAATGTTACTTTATCACCATCACTATGTCGATAAATTAGTTATTTTGCCAACACGGAGCAAATAAAGTTATAATATTTTTTTTGTGACGAAATTTACAAATTTTTACCCTGTTCAGGTGTTGAAATTTTGCCAATGTTAACATATCACTGCCATATAATAATTTATATGACCGGCGTATGGTTGAAATATTGTTAATTGATCCATAGTACGTAATATAGGGTGTTTAAGTTGGTATACTAATATTTACTCAATTTCACACATGTTGAGATATCATACAAATTTATGTGACTAAATTTACCTATTTCTGCCTTCTGTATTTGTATTTGCCTATAACAATGAAATATGTGAACAATTCCAAACACATTCAGCTCACAAAATAATGCTAGACTATTCGGCATTTCTTGTCAGGATGTCATAAATATCCCTCATATAAATTTCTTAAATGTGTGACGGAGTTTACATGGTGCTACCATTTAACGAAAAAAGTCGCTAAATATGTAGATAATAGTCATATGCAACCATCCTATAAATTTGAAATTCGAAAATTTGGTCAAACACGGCAACAAGGGGTCCATATAAACTCTGTCACATTTTTATAGTGTGACAAAGTTTACAACTCACTGCCGGCCGCATTTAAGCGATATCTTATCGTCTGATAAAGATATCGTTATGCGACAAAGTTTATCTAGAGGATGAAACGATTATCCTAACCATTGAGGGTTTATATAGTTTTATAGTGTGACACATTTTACACCATCGTGCCATTTAGTAGGGTCACTAATATTTACCAATATCCTCAAACTTCAATGAACGTGTCCATAAAGTAATATAAATATTTCCTTCCCAGTGGAAGTTGCACTCACACTAACGGTGCAGGCTCGTGGCAAGTTAATCTTCAGGACAACTACGTGATCAAGAGTGTGTGGATCAAGAACCGAGTAGATTGCTGCAGTAACCGTATTAATGGGGTTCAGGTATGGAATTGTACCGTGATTACACATATCATTATCAGTGCAGTGGCTGTTATTTAATTAAATGAGACTTGTATAATGTATTGCAATAAAAGTGAAACAATTTTGTCATCGATTCATTAAAACTGTATGCGATCAGGCACCAACCTTCCAGTTTTGGCACACGAGAGCTTTTCTTTGAAGAGATTCTCTACCAATCAATAACTTCCCCTAGTTAATTATTAAAATGTTTTTTTCATGTATTTTTTTATAAAATAAAATTATTTAAATTTAACACAACCCTCAGGTATTCGTAGGAGACGCTCTGTGCGGTACTATCGAGTACAACCCAATAAAGTACAGCTACTCAGTTAACTGTGGAGAGAACGGAATTGTTGGATCTTCAGTAAAGGTTATAAACTTATAAAACTTATAAAACTTATAAAGTATAAACCCAACCACTTATCTAACTATCTAACCCTTGGTTTTTATCAAGCCTCTTTTTATTAACCATATATTTTATCAGGTTGTAAACCCAACTACTCATCTCACCCTGTGCGAGGTCAAGGTCTGGGGACCTGCTGATCCTGTTGTTATCGAAGAGACTACTGATGAAGAGGTATGTAGTTTTACAGTGCCTCACTTTACAGGGTGCTACAAGACTCGTGTCCAAATTTTACAAGACTCGAGTCCAAATTTTGAATGGCTCTCAAACTCTAACAAATGAGACGAACAGGTCGATTTTTGTTTTAAATTGTAGATAAGTTATTACATTTTCATGAAATACAAGATTATAATTTCAAATTTGGACCCGGGTCTTGGAACAGCCTATAAGTATTTAAAAGTATATAGTTGTATGTTCAGTATTACATGATTATAAGAAAACACAAATCTTAAGAAAGCAATATATATAAGCATATATAAACGTTAAATACATTCTGTTTTAATTTAACCCTGATCTAAGTGTAGTTCCAAATTCCAATCTTAAAGCAAATTACTTGAAACTTTTTGATAATTGTAACTTCTTGATATTAACCCAACAACTTCTTGATATGAACCCAATTTTACAACAGGTTGTTGGAGACAAGAGTGCAGCTGTAGATGATGCCGTTTCACAGGCCAAGTGCCCGAGTGGAAAGGTGGGAATTTAAATTTAAATTATTTAATTAATTAATTATTTAAAAAATTAATAAATTAAGATATAAATACTCTCCAAATTAATAAATCCATCCCTGATATTTTCCAACCTACACACTCTCCAATTAATTTATCAAAACCAGAATAATATCAAACCTTTGTCATAAGGTTATACTTTTATTAACTTTTATTAACCTTTTTCCCAATTCTTTGACATTTTAACGTTTGGTTTCTATCGAGTCCTTGTTTTAACATTTTTAATAACTCATTATTTTCACCAGGTTGTGTCCTTCTGTGAGGTTGCTACTGGAAATACTGCTGTTAACGCTGACGGTGCTCTTGTAAAGGGTGATGGCGGTGAGATCTGTGTAGCTCACAACGGATGGGGTGGTCAGGGAGTTATTGTAAGTATTTACACTGTTAAATTCATAATTGAATAATTACATATTTGCATAATTACATAATTTAATTATCACACAATAAGTATTGATTCGCTTTTCCGACCAATTATATGCATTGACCCTGAGGCCTGATTTGCAGCATTATAATTCACTAACAAATCTAAAAACAGGCCCGAGCCATCTGCTCAGAACAAGTACAAATAGCAAGCCCTTGCAACGGCCCCAAACTGAACCTGTACAAGAAACTGTACGCTAGAGGTACCGACCCTAGCTTGAAGTGTCCTGCTGGTTATGAAGCTATCATTTGTAATGCTCACTCCTTCTGGTGGAACATGTGAGTGGGCTGTGAATGGTTTTAATTGATCTTTTTGAAAGTTTATAGCTGATAGCAATTGAGCGATTTTGTTAGTAAATAACCTAGCTTTAGTAATTATGTAGTAAATTGAGTAGTGTGATTTTGATAAAACAAACTTCCACTCCTATATGATAACCTAAATTCCACCCTAACCAGGCTGGTAAACAAAGTTGATGCTAAGGGTATCATCTCTAACGACAAGGACTGTGTTGTACCAAGCTGCAACGCCAACAACTGGTGTGATATTACCCTCGTGTGCAAACTCATGGAGGATATGTGAGTTATTCTGCATATTATGTTGTTGTTTATGCGGAACTACAGCTTTAATGTTTGCAAACTCATGGAGGATATGTGAGTTCTTCTGCATATTATGTTGTTGTTTATGTAGAACTACAGCTTTAATCTTTGCAAACTCATGGAGGATATGTGAGTTATTCTGCATATTATGTTGTTGTTTATGCAGAACTACAGCTTTAATGTTTGCAAACTCATGGAAGATATGTGAGTTATTCTGCATATTATGTTGTTGTTTATGCGGAACTACAGCTTTAATGTTTGCAAACTCATGGAGGATATGTGAGTTCTTCTGCATATTATGTTGTTGTTTATGTAGGAATACAGCTTTAATGTTTGCAAACTCGTGGAGAATATGTGAGTTCTTCTGCATATTATAAATCAAGAGGCTTGCATATAATGAACATATTGACATGGGTGCAGAGTTGAGTCTGTACGGAACCTAGTAGTTTCAGTTCCTTGTTTAACTTGCCGTACAGCAAGGACATCCACTACTTTAGCCCGGCGAGGCACATAACTCACTCTACAACTCCATGTCAAATGTTTCATATATACTAGCCAAGTTCACAAGATATATCCTTGTGTTTGAGAAGCGCTCGTTAGAACTGCTTCCTTTCCCTTCAGTATCCCACAGTCTCTCGAGTTTCGTAACTGCCAGAGAACTCTCTTAAACAATTACTAGACCCGGTGATTATAAATCAAGAGGCTTGCATATAATGAACATATTATGTTGTTGCTTATGTAGAACTACTAATGTTTGGAGATTTTTCACCTTGTCTGTAAGACATAGGTGTCGATTGCACTATTTAATCAAATCAAATAACGCTACACAACTTGGTACGTGTAACGTGAGTAGGCCTCAAACTAACTGCTAAACGTTTGAAGGGGAAGTTCTATAATGCCCGTCTTTATGTATTCACCAGCTGCTTTCATTTTCAAGCACAGGTCGCTCTCAAAATTACGATAAGTAGTATCCTTTAACGCTTGAAACCTCCTCAAGCCTCCACTGATTTATTTATCGTTGATATTGTTAGATCGTTCCGTAAAAAAATAAATAATACCCCACTATTGCCACTATTGCCACTATTACCACCACTATTACCGTCGGTTGCCTCGTTTGGCTTGAAGCCGCTCACATTCTCTTTTGTTCAGAGTCGTTGATCTACGGTATTCAACTTTTATTAAAGCTAATAAAACTTACTCTCCCACATCTCGTCTCGACTCTCGTTGAATAATTCAATTTGTTAATGAAATATGTTGCTAAATTCATAAATTCAACATTTTCACAGTTCTTTTCACTCCGCATACTTTTCCCTTCGCATACAATCCTGAATCCACATAGTCACTCGTTTCTCGTGCTCTATGCGGTGTGAACCCTCATTTAGAAGAGGCATTTTCAAGATCCTTCTCTCAGCAAAATATTGCATTTAAATATATAAAATACTATATATTACATTTATGCGTACAAATATGACTAATGAAATATGTTGCTAAATTCATAAATTCAACATTTCCACAGTTCTTTTCACTCCGCATACTTTTCCCTCCGCATACAATCCACATAGTCACTCGTTTCTCGTGCTCTATGCGGTGTGAGCACCCCACATTATATGTGACCAAACCTAATGAGCTGTATAAAACCTGTTGAACCGGTTAAACCTAGATGTGGGGGCAAAGAGAGCACTATATTCAGTGATCGACCGAGTCCTCGGCCTCAGTTTTACCGAGGAATGACGATTTTTCCTCGGCCTCGGTCAGAAGAATGATTCCTCGGTTTGCCTCGGCCTCGGTAAAAAGTCGAGTTGCCATTCCTCGGCCTCGGCAAAATTTGAAGATTTAACCGAGGATTTAACCGAGGACTTTGTACAAATTTTACCATGAAAAAAAATAGCTATAGGCACTTTAAAAATTCGTAATTTTGGAAAATTGGTACGCAACTTTTGTTGAAAGTAAAATAGATTGTTCAAGGTTGAAAACTGTGAAGATTAAAACAATAACTATGTCAATTTTGTACCAAAATTTGTACCAAAATTCCTTGGCTTCGGTTGAAAAAATTAAACCTCGGTTCTCCTCGGCCTCGGTTAAATTACTAATTTACAATATGCCTTCCTCGGCCTCGTTCGCAAATCCTGCCCTCGGTCTATCACTGACTATATTGATTAGGGGCTCACACACGTCCTGTTACCTTTTTATCTTTCTTGTCTGTATTTTTTTAAAGTTTTTGAAAATAAATTTCTTAATTAAACAACTGTTAATATGTATCTATAAAGACGACATAATTGGTGTCGCTGTGTCTTGGTTTAATTAAGAAATTGAGACGTTTTTCTCACGGAATATAATAACTTATTTAATGTTACACTCATTTGCACTTTAGTCTCATGAGTAGCTCAAATTTCATTAAATAACTTTATTAAATACCTTAATACGTTTCATGTGTAAATAGTCTAACGTATAACCCGCAGGGATGCCTACGCAGAAGCAGTGTGCCCAACCTGTGACGGATACAGCTGCGAGGAAAGTTTCGAGTGCCAAATGATAGATGATGATGGAGATGACAGTGACAAGAAGTTCCCCACTTGTGTTGAGAAGCAGACCGGTTGTGATGTCGATAGGTATGTGTTATACACTAAACTAACTAAATACCGACTATAAATCCCAAATAAATTCCCATTTATTAATTAATTAATTAATTAATTAATTAATAATGTGTCCCTACAGATGCGGAGATAACGGTGATTGCGAACCTAAAGGAGCAGATGATTATATCTGTATCTGCAGTGACGGATACGAATTTGATGAGATTGCCGGAACTTGCATGCCAGTACACACTAAATGTAAGCTATTAATTAATTAATTAGTTAATTAATTAGTTAATTAATTAATCATTCAATTAATTAGTTAATTAATTTGTTGTATATTGGCGGTTCAGAGACAGTTACAATTTTAGCATCAGTTATGTTTTCAATGTGAGTACCTTTATCACGTGTTACTTTTGTCACGTGTTACCTTTATCACGTTTTGCTGATCTCTGCCAACTTTCAGACCGAACAGTTTACGGAGATGAAGCTATCGGTGATGATGCTCACAGTTTCGCTACCTGCTCAGAAGGAGAACGAGTTTACAGGTTATTATTCAAAATTTCTTTATTTAAGTAATTACAAACAAAATTATTTTTTGGTTTTCATAGATGTGACGTCATAATATATTACTAGCAGCACAATTTTCTAGATTTGTTGTTTTCTTAAATTGCTGATTATGATGCTGAAAAATTAATACTATTAATAACAATAGTCTTAAATCACTAATTAATAGTTATTATAAATTACCAGGTGCCACACCTTTGGAGCGCCAAGTGCAGCTGATGGAGTCACCATTGCCAACACTAACGGACTGGTACGATGTGAAGCTAGAGCTTCTCATAGCAAGAAGTTCCCTGTCAGGGTAAGTTAGTGTTGATTTATTTATTTGTTTTTATTAATTAAGTTACTTTTATTTATTTATTTATTATTATTAATTAAGTTAGTTGTACTTATTGAAACTATTTTATCGCCAGGCTGTTGGATACTGTGGTGAAGATAACATCTTCACTGACCCATGTACCCAGGAAGACATTCACCAGATCGAATACAGGTACTTACTTTACTTTACTTTACTTTAACAGCTATGTTGAACTGAACACAAATCCCTGAATATTAGCGTAACTTTTAAAACTTAATTTTAGTGTTGATATAAGGTATAGGCGTGTCATTATTTAGAGTAGGGAATTATAATTAATATACTGATAATAACTGAAGGTCACTTATAATAAAAATAGTAACTAATGATAGCTAATACTCTAATAATAACTTATGGTAACTAATGGTAACTAATGCAATGGTAACTAATGGTAACTAATGGTAACTAATGGTAACTCCTCAACAGGATTGATGCTGGCCTTTCTCCCTCAATCAGCTGTCCTGATGGATACTTGATGGAAAGCTGTATCTTCCACAGCCCCTGGACACAGGTAATAAATTGACTCATAAAGACGTAATATATAACGTGACCACGTGTTCACCATGTGTTGACCATGTGTTGACCACGTTTCGCACAAATACAATCTAAAGATAAACCTTACATAAACTTACTGATATTAATTAAATAATTAATTACAACACCTCTATAAGTCTATATATCTGTAACTCATGGTAACTAATGGTAACTAATGGTAACTAATGGTAACTAATGGTAACTATAAATGGTAACTAATGGTAACACCTCTCAGGCTATAGATATATTAATATAATTATATAATTAATTAATTAATTAATTACAACACCTCTCAGGCGCTTACTGATGTAAACAGAGCTCGGATCAACAGTATCGGCGCTGTCGGTATCAACGATGACGGTTCATGCTCCATGACTGATTGTTTGAAGAATCCTCACGGTCACCAATGGTGCAAACTTACTGCTGTCTGCAAAAAACTGACCGGGTAAGAAAACTCTCCTATCAATTCTTAAGTTTAATTTAGTTACAAAGCTAACCTCAAAATAACACGACTTATCAAGCTTCAAAGTTGACATTCAGCTGGATAGTTCTCGATTATTGTAAATGTCACTGAATATTAGTGAAGAATGCAGGCGAAGAAGTAATTTCATAATTATATTTTTCTCATAGCAACTCGAAAGAAAACAGGGTGATCAAGACACCATATTATTAAGTTAACTTATATCTACTTGTTTTCAGTTCCATATTATTAAGTTAACTAATATCTACCTGTTTTCAGTTCTGAGTACATGAAGGCAGCATGCCCAACCTGACACCATATTATCAAGTTAACTAATATCTACCTGTTTTCAGTTCTGAGTACATGAAGGCAGCATGCCCAACCTGTGACGATGTCAGATGTCCAGATGGTCAGGAATGCGGAATGGTAGAAGATCTGCCACTCTGTCTCCCGAGAGTACCTGGAGGTTGCGATGCAGACAAGTGTGGAGAGAACGGTATGTTTTTGGTTTTGGTTCCGGTTTTAGATATTCATTAAATGGTTACAATTTAATCCAACTTAGCTAGGGAATATATGTTTTGCTCTCATAGGACCCATTTCGACTCGAAATGGTGTTTCAAAATCCAAATCCACACTCACCCATTAAGTAATAAGTATCCATAATATTCTGCACCCCTTGAATAAAGTTCTGACAAACCCCACGGCTCTCAGGCGAGTGCAAGGAAGACGGAACCGACTACGAATGCCTCTGTAAGACCGGATACAAGTTCGACAGTGTCACGTGTATCGATATCGACGAGTGTGCTGAGGAACCATGTGGTAACGGGGACTGTACCAACACTGCCGGATCTTACACGTAAGGAAATGCGGTTGAGAGCTGTTGATTGCCTGATTTTTAGAGCTGCCAATTTACCAATTTTACTAATTGTACCACCAGGAATGACACAGCTGATTTTCAGCTATATAACGTTCACTGATCTCGCATTTGATTTTATGACATTTTGTTGTTATAGCCTACATTTCTATTCTTAATATCTGCTATTTCGATTACTATAACTAATATAAATCTGAATTCGCTCGTCAATTATAAAATAATTCTCAGTTGTGACTGCAAGAAGGGATACGAAGCTGTAAAGGGAACATGTGAGGATGTTGACGAGTGTGCTGATAGTCCTTGCTCTGAAACTGAGAGGTGTTCCAACATTGAAGGTGTGTAATAAGAGGGTCATTAGAGGGTGATTAGAGGGTAATTACAGGGTAATAAGAGAGTTATTACAGGGTAATTACAGGGTAATTACAGGGTAATTACAGGGTAATTACAGGGTAATTACAGGGTAATTAGTGTAATAAGTGTAAACTACTAACTAAGTTAATAAAAGCGACAGATGACCAGCTATTTTTGTACACTAAGACACCAGTATTAGAAACCAATTAATATAACAGTCATTTTTGATATTTTCAAGCCCACTTGCTCCAACAAATAAAACATTCAGGAAGCTTCATCTGCGATTGTCTGGATACTTTCATCAGAGTAAAGAAATCTAAGGAATGTGTCTGTGCTGACGGGTTCGAGAACCAGGATGGGTCCTGTGCTGATATTGACGAGTGTGCTTTACCTGATAGCTGTGGAGAAAATGAGGTACGGGGTTTTTCAGACATTGGTCTGTTTTAGTTCATAAAAGTTTTTTTGACTTACGTATATTCAGGTCTCATGATGTAGTTTTTCTACGAAAATTTCAACCGGAACCTTGTGTGTTTACTTACTGTGTGCCCAACCAAATAAATTAAAAGGACGGGGTTACTGTTTGTCTTTGGTGGCGTTCATTTTTGCTATTCAATGTGGACGAGCTCAGTTATTATAGGAGATATTTCGAGTGATTAATACATACGTTAAAAATGGTAACATAAAGAATTGTACCAATTTCATAAATACAAGCTGGATACATGAAAATGGGTTATCAATCGTTAATGAATAATTTGCAATCAACCATTTAATTGTCTTACGGAAGATAATAAATATGCAATAGTTTACCAAACTTATATTACATTGTGTTTCTTAATTTGATTTTGTTATAATATATAATAAATATGTAATAGTTTACCAAACTTATATTACATTGTGTTTCTTAATTTGATTTTGTTAACAAAAAGTTAAATTTACATTACTTCTGCAGGTCTGCACAAACTCAGTCGGAAACTACCAATGTGAATGCAAGGAGGGGACAGAGAAGGGATCTGATGGAGTGTGCAAGGAGTTCCTTCCGCTGGAATGTGATGTTAAGGCAAAGAAGCCAATTGTTAAGGGAATCAAGGGAACCAATGTCAATGTCAAGGTAAGAACTGGCAATTTTTATAGAATCATGCCTTAATAGTGGAATGAAGCATACTTAGAATAGGTTTGATACCTGTAGAAACACTTGATATTTGGTTAACTTTGAAGCCAAAACATTACTTATATTGATGTATATGACAGATTTAACTAACAAACACAACTTCAGTTGGCCGGTGAAGTTAAGAAGACCTTCAAGAAATACGCCACAATCAAGTGGGAAAAGAACAACGAACCCTGGGATCCTAAATCCGACGGCAAATCTAAATTCAACGGATTCACCATCAGGTAACATCTTGTTTCGGTACTCCTTATTTATTATTATCTTATAACTTTATTCAAATCAAAGATAGAACAAATCGTTTGTATTTACAAACGGAATTTAACTATTATCTAAATCAAATTTCTCCATTCTACTTTTTTAAATCGTTCGTGTGAAACATTAAAAGTAGGACTGCAAAGATTACCTTAACTAATCTATTATGATTTTTTAATTATCTTGAATAATCATGAATGACCCTACAAGATTTTCATCATCACCATTTAAACTCTCATCACGCAGGAAGTTTGATGCCGAAGATGCGGGTATTTATGTAGCTTCCATCTACATTGAGAAGGATGGAGAAAGCTTCAAATGTGAGGTCGAGGTCAAGCTTGTCCTTCTAGGTAAGATCAGGCTGTTTTCAAACACAAGGATTTATTTCTTGTCGCAGATTTGCGGATATTTGAATACCGAGGCTTCTCGACTATTTTCAGATTTTTTGCTTTTCTTTAATGATCATTAAGCTATTGATATGTCGTTCAACACTATCAATAGCTTAATAGTTCTCGCTAATATTTGCTATTGGTGGTCCAACACTATATAATCCACTAAACTTGCTTTTTCTGATTCTCATATAAAACAACTTGTTCCTAATTCTATAAAGCAACATTCATTACCAAAAATACATTTCCTCTCTGTAATCAAGGACGGAAAAGATTAAAAAACTTACTTTTTAACATACTTTTTCTTTTTCAGAGGGATCTGTGAAACTGAACATTGCCAATGCTAAACAACTGTCTAAAAAGCAGAAGTCTGGACAACCTCTCACTATCAAGTGTGACGTTGATATTGACAACGTAAGTTTACTGTTTAACGATGTAAAATTGTCAAATGTCTCGACTACTTGGTTATGGTAGATTTTGATATCAACAAAGCCCAATGACTCAATGACAAAACTAATTTTGGAGGCCTAGTTTTTGGAGAGCACGAGTAAGTAAAGTAGGTAAATTGTGAGCCGGCGGTGCTTCGCCGATAGTAATGCAACAGTAAGTGTGATTAGGGTGAGACTCCCAGCATCCTCGTATTTTCGTCATTGGTCGAGGACAAGGAATACACGTCGAGAGGCTTCGTGCAGAGTGCAGACCAGCGTTTAGTTGAATCGCGTATTTGAAATTCGGGTAATGATCATTATACCACGAAAGCTAACATTTTATATATTCTCAGCTGAAACTGAAAGACCCTAAGAGTCCAGATAACATTAACTGGTACAGAGTAACTGATGACGGTGATGAACTTCTTGATGATAGTGATACTATCAGTATCGAACGAGGAAAAGGTTATTTTTTTGGATACTTTATCCTTTAATTATATTATCTTGAATAATAACATTTTGTAAAATATTGTAATGTTAGTCTAAAAATCGATTGCCAAAAGTTAATTTTTTATATATACTGTTTTTATTCTGGGTTTATTCTGACATACCACTCATAATTCAATGCAATAAGTAACTGGAATATCAATCTTTACCTAAATAATTAGTACAATTAATGTAATTATTAGTGTATAAATCTTAACCTGTGTTTATTTCAGGAACCTACCAAATGATCCTCAAGAACCCGAGCCCCGAAGACAGCGGCACCTACAGATGTGAGTTTGATCAACAAGGAGTGGACACATCTACAGACGTCACTATTGAGTTCAAGTAGATTACTCGCAAGATTGCAGGGCACATGTATAAGGACATGTACAGGTTTTTTTATTATGGAAATAGATTTTTATGGAAATGGACTGAACTGATTTTTAAATTTTTAGTAAGTTGATATTTGATTTGCGACTTGACTACGATCTGAAGTGATATTTTTGTTGTACAATTTTTATCACACATGCATTCAAAACATATTGTTTTATTTTTTGTTATGTATAAAAAATAAAAACAAGAAATAACTTAAATTAGAGATTCATCCAATTCATCTGGAAAGCAGAAATATTTGGCCGCCCCAAGAAAGAGGGACACTGTTTATACTTCAAAGTGTAAGCCCGGGAAGGAACACTACCAGAAAAGCAGGAAGGAACACTATTCACTATAATAATAGTATATTATCGAGATGTGTTGTATTTGTCCACAAAAATACCATTACTACTACCAAATCAAATGATGGAATAGTTCGCTGTTTATTAGTCTCATGATTGGAATACTGATAGTTGGATAATATCCGGTTGGAAGAGACAAGGACAAATGAAGCAGCCTACATTCCTAACTTCCTGTTTCATTTGTCCTTGTCTCTTCCCACCGGATATTATCCAACTATCAGAACTACCAAATCGTTAAGACTCCGAGCTAGACTTACCTCTCCAGTCGCCGTGTTACCAGGGGACCCCAGGCTTATAGCGTTATTATACCTGTACATGGTTGTAGAATCTTTTGCTTGACAGGATCCTATGGTTGACCTCCAGCTAACCGTTTTTGAAATTACAGATAATTGAGATCTCCAAGGGCTGTAGGATCTTCTGCTTGACAGAATCCCGTTGAAAATATTTGAATTCACTTTAAAATGGCTCTTCCTGATCCAGTTTCAACCATAAATTAGACACAAAGCTCATTTGCAGAAATAAAATGTTATACGACAAAGCATTAAAAAGTGTTGGGTTAGCACTTATCCATGCTAATATTGGAGCCCAATTACTCAATGATAATCTGAACTGTTCTCACCAGTCACCACTGCACAATTGTAATTTTTATTTTGAAACCAATCTAACGCGTTTGTCAATACGTCACATAATAATTTTAAACAACAGTTAAAAGTCGTGCTTTTATTAATGTTCTAGATACTAAAATATCAGCATAATTCAATAATCCAATAAAAGTTCCAATTAATCTAAAATAACATAGCATTTAGGCTATCCATTATCGGTATGAAATCTTTTATCTAGATAAACAGATAAAAATTTAGGTTTTATCTAGATAAAACCGATAAAACCGATAATTTTTCTGCTGAAGGCCAAAGCCAAACTGTCTTTCAAATTTCACAAAAACTAATTGTCGACTTTTATCACTGTTGACCAGTAATCTTGATAAAGTACAACACCAACAGTTACTACTACAACTACCAATACTCAATAGTAGACAAAGGGTTTCCTTCTCCTGAGAACAGTAACGCAATAGTTCTCTTCAAAACAGTAGATCACCGGTTTCCTTCTCCTGAGAACAGTAGTGTACTACCAGTTCTCTTCAAAACAGTACACCAAGGGTTTCCTTCTCCTGAGAACAGTAGTGCACCTGTTCTCTTCAAAACAGTAGACCACCGGTTTCCTTCTCCTGAGAACAGTAACGCACTAGTTCTCTTCAAAACATTAGACCACCGGTTTCCTTCTCCTGAGAACAGTAGTGCACCAGTTCTCTTCAAAATAGTAGACAAAGGGCTTCCTTCTCCTGAGAACAGTAGTGTACTACCAGTTCTCTTCAAAACAGTACACCAAGGGTTTCCTTCTCCTGAGAACAGTAGTTCACTTGTTCTCTTCAAAACAGTAGACCACCGGTTTCCTTCTCCTGAGAACAGTAACGCACTAGTTCTCTTCAAAACATTAGACCACCGGTTTCCTTCTCCTGAGAACAGTAGTGCACCAGTTCTCTTCAAAATAGTAGACAAAGGGCTTCCTTCTCCTGAGAACAGTAACGCACTAGTTCTCTTCAAAACATTAGACCACCGGTTTCCTTCTCCTGAGAACAGTAACGCACTAGTTCTCTCCAAAACATTAGACCACCGGTTTCCTTCTCCTGAGAACAGTAGTGCAACAAATACCAATTCTCCTCGAAACAGTAAAGAATTTAAAGTGATTCAGTGAATCGTTTCCTTATCCTGTGGAAAAAATTGGAGCAAAGGATTCCTTCTCCTGAAGACAATGTTTCACGCCTAGAACACTTACGGAATTTAATTCAGTGCCCTGCCGGTATTTTTGGCTCTAGTTAACAGTAACATGCTCGTTCCTGTCTCCAGAATGGTTGTAAGGTAGAACGCCGTAAGGTAACAATGTCAATAACTTTCTCTAGACTTCTACAGTTCTACAGGTCCATAGGTATACAAATGTAAATAAACCTCTTAAGCTCACATTTAAGTAAACTACCTCTTATATCATACTATAAAACGTTTGGGACTGTTTTTTGGATTACTTGGGAAGGCAAAAACACTAATATTTTTTTAAAATTGTACGGTATTGTGGCAGTTTTTTCGGTAATTTCTAGTGAATTTTTATACCGATAAAAATATGTTTTATCTAGATAAACAGATAACCTTTTTTAACGAATTATCGGAGATAATTATCGGTAACGATTATCGGAGTGGATAGCCTAATAGCATTATAATCAATATTTTGATTCAGATGTATAAATTTTCCGTTATGTAGACAATATGTTTTTATTGTCTTCTTTTTTTTTGTTTTCATTTTTTTGTTGTTTTATATTCATAATATATTATTATATTACATAATAACGATACTAGTGTCTAGTAATATCTTATTCAAAATCAACCTTGCGATCTATGGTCTTCCAATTAGTTATACAACAAAGTTTGTGGAATTTGTATGATAGTATGAATAAGTTATTACGTAAAACCACTCATAATTTAACATTACTATCATCACTTTACTAATTACAGATAAGTTTCTGAAGATAAGTGATAGAAACTATATCATATCAATATCAGCGTATAATGTACTTAGTATACTTAATGTAATTAATGTACTTAGTATACTTAATGTACTTAATGTACTTAATGTAATTAATGTACTTAATGTACTTAATGTAATTAATGTACTTAATGTACTTAATGTACTTAATATAATTAATATACTTAATGTACTTAATGTACTTAATGTACTTAATGTACTTAATGTACTTAATGTACTTAATGTACTTAATGTTATTAATGTACTTAATGTACTTAATGTACTTAATGTACTTAATGTACTTAATGTGCTTAATGTACTTAACGTACTTAATAAGCTTAATGTACTTAATGTGCTTAATGTACTTAATTTACTTAATGTACTTAATGTGCTGAATGTACTTAATGTGCTTAATGTACTTAATGTGCTTAATATACTTAATGTACTTAATGTACTCAATGTACTCAATGTACTCAATGTAATCAATGTAATCAATGTAATCAATGTACTCAATGTACTCAATGTACTCAATGTACGTAATGTACTCAATGTACTCAATGTACGTAATGTACTCAATGTACTCAATGTACTCAATGTACTCAATGTACTCAATGTACTCAATGTACTCAATGTACTCAATGTACTCAATGTACTCAATGTACTCAATGTACTCAATGTACTCAATGTACTTAATGTACTCAATGTACTTAATGTACTCAATGTACTCAATGTACTCTATGTACTCAATGTACTCAATGTACTTAATGTACTCAATGTACTCAATGTACTCAATGTACTCAATGTACTCAATGTACTTAATGTACTTAATGTACTTAATGTACTTAATGTACTCAATGTACTTAATAAACTTAATGTACTTAATGTACTTAATGTACTTAATGTACTTAATGTACTTAATGTACTTAATGTACTTAATGTATTTAATGTACTTAATGTACTTAATGTACTTAATGTACTTAATGTACTTAATGTACTTAATGTACTTAATGTACTTAATGTACTTAATGTACTTAATGTACTTAATGTACTTAATGTACTTAATGTACTTAATGTACTTAATGTACTTAATGTACTTAATGTACTTAATGTACTTAATGTACTTAATGTACTTAATGTACTTTACAAATATTAATTTGTCCTGTTAAACTGACTCCCCTTCATAATTGTATCTCATGTTTTAATTGCCTCTATTTTCATTGCTCATCTACTTTTGCTGCATATTATTTAAGTCGTTCATTTCTGGCGTTATCATCTAACTTGATCGTTTTTATACTGCTTTATCTCTCAAAATGCCGTCATAAGCTCTCTTCTTTGTCTTAGCTAATCATTTCTTTGTTTATCTCGTACTTCAGTCATCTCTGCTGTGCCTGGAACTTCTCCGTCTTGTACTGCCACACAATCCATCTCAATGGTCTCAACTGGTGATGATCGGTAAATTCTTGAACCAGTGATTAGGGTTCCGAGTCTTTGGATAGGTAAGCTTATAAGGTTTGTTACTGTTTTATCATAGATTAGTGGGTTTATGACGGAGTTGATCGGTAAAACAATCATGGAAAACAGGCCATACCAGGGTGTTGCATTTAGAACCTCAAGGGAATGTAGAACACATATCACTATGAAGGGTACCCAGCAAATGAAATCTGTAGTGATAATGATGGCGATTCTTAAGTTCATTTTCCTATTGCGTTGTGAAATCTGTTGGTTCCCCCCTGACTGTGTCAAACTTTTAGAGGATTTGCGAGATATGATGCCAATGATCAAGTATGAGGCTGTAATGAAAAAGAAGCACACAAAGTTCAGGGCAAGAATTGCCCATACCAAGTGCCTCTGTGGATCATTTTCTTTGACAAAATATTTGAAGAGGCAAACACCATCGTTTCCATAGAAATTCACCTTTTGGATGTTTTTCGTGTAGTCTTCATAACCATTATCGTGAGAATACATCTCGGACATCATTTTGTTGATCATACGCCAGCTTAGTGTTGTTTCCTTCATTCTACCAAAGTATCCTTGAAAGACAGCAAATAGTGTCTGCTTGTTCATTGTTCCAATAAATACCTTTATCTCTTCTGCATACTTCATTCCATTGCCAAAGAAATCCTCAAATTTGGAAATAATTGGGATTACAGCAATGACAATGGACGCCAACGTCATCATTAAAACACCTCCTGCAACTTGGAGTGATTTTACCAATGTAACTTCTCCCGGAATT